GAACAAGGTCTCCCTCCGCAGATTTGCGGACAGATGGATAATTTTCGATATTAGTATTTAAACAGCCTGGGCAGAATAAACTATAGTGTTTTTTTAATGATAATTGATAGGTAAATATCTATACATAATTCCATCTCGTCAAGCGTTATTATGACTATTGTCATGAATTACCTATATCTCTGTTCCAACCGGAAAACTTAAGAATGTTTTATTAACATAACGTCACTAAACAATGTCTAAAAAAGAATATTCAGCAATGAGCATGCGTCACATTGCGCCGCGTGCTACGACTCCTGACCAAAAAAATTGTAACGCTATGCCTACAGTATGGCTCCGTCTCGCGTAACTACCGATAATTTTAGTTGCACTACAGTTCTTCAGTTAATTTCCGCTTTCTTTTAACTTAATTAGATCAATTATCTCATATATTGCATAGTCTATAAGGGTCAGTTGTGATCTTCTATAATAGTTGCCTTATCTATCAACTAATTTAAAGAATTTTATATAAAAAATATTATTACTATCATTATTATTAAAAAATATATATATTTTGCGTCTCTTTCGCTTTCCGACGCGGCCCGTTTTAATTGGTAACGGTTTTAATACATTTTTTTACTCATTAAGGCTCTTATGACGTGCAGAATTACATTTCAATTTTGTGACAGCCATATGATTTCCTAATTTAGTCGGTTACTTAAAATAAGATAATGTATTTTAATATATAAACGAACGACGTCACAAACTGAAAATTTGGAAATAATAATGTTGGACAATCGCCAACTGCAATAATGAGTTGAGCAAAACATATCAACAAAATGTTTCTTTATTTAGATAAAACAAATACTTATTTCTTTATACAATATATTCATTCTAACTTACTTCGTTATCTTTTTGAAATAAAAATACCGGTAAAATCCAAATCGGTCTAGTTCACGGCGGTGTTCAGATCGACTTAATTCATAGTATGGTTATAGTTATGTTTAGTAAGTATAGTATATTTACATAGTATCGGTAGTAAAAACAAAATTCTTTACTTTTTAATTAACGAGAAAGTAATTACCAGTGTTAAGCAATCGCTTGGCCTATACTTGTAAAAAAGTATATAAAGATTTATATAGAGATAGGGCACAAACTTACAGAAGCTCCTTATTTGTTTAAAATGAAAAGATCAAGTCACTTAACTTAAAAGTTGTTCCCGTACTTCAGTATAGGTTACGATAAATGCAGCTAAATCGCTATTATAAAAAACTAGGGCACTGTATCTCTCTAATATACAATAATTTCCTACGATATCGTCATAGGCATATTATCCGATAATTTTAGTTTTACAATTGTTTTAAAATAAAACTTAATCCCACCGTAATAAGATAATAACATGCCAACTATTCCTTATTTCCAAAAGAGACATTTTATATTTCTTGTCAACTAAATAAATAACAATTTCGCACTAACAATGTTATCATCACCAGCCCTTTTACGTCCCCACTGCAGGGGCTCAGGCCTTCCTTATGGTTAAGGAGGATGGGCCATAACCCTCCACGCTGGCCCAATGCGGATTGGAGGGTATTAACGACTGCAAATGCAGCTGGGACCAACGGCTTAACGTGCCTTCCGAATCACGGAGTAGCTCGAGATAATAATTTTTTGGTCACCCATCCCGTGACCGACCCTTACAAAAGTTGCTTAACGACTACGATCGCGGGCCGCGGTGCTTATCCACTACGCCACCGAGCTACTCGATCGAACAATGTTATACTGAAAAATATTCCTAATTAAAAATGCTTACTTAATTATAATTATTTAATTAATTGAAAATTGCTTAAATGCCATGGACCAAGTGGGTTTTTAAGCATTTCTCTTTAATAACATATAATTAGTACAAATAATGACAACTCGTTGAAGTCTTTCGTAGCTCAGTTGAAAGTTGTGTAGCCCAGCTAGCGAGAAATTAGGTCTGAAGGCGTTTGAGGCGCTTAAGGCACTTGAACTTCAACATTTAACAATAATTCAAAATCTAACAATAAGAATTTGCGTGATGTATTTTATATACACTATGAGCTGCTAAGTCCCGCTTGGCCATCTGAACACAGTTCTGTCACACCATAGAGGTTCGATTAAATTACTTTTTGAATTCGTCTTTATTTCTCTGCTTACCCCGCTAGTAATTAATAGGTATTAATTACTTTACGACCGAAAATAAGAAATTTGTCTTAAGTTGTCACCTGGCTAAGGTAAACACCGAGTATAAAAATCATTTGAAGGGGGTAGGGGGGTAGCCCTACACATTTAATTGATAGCTGATAACTATGATAATTGATAGGATTGATAGCTGATAGAATGATAAGGAGGATGTTCTGAGGAAATAGTATAAGGAGACAAAAATGATACAACCGAGTTGAATGGTTACAATATTCGAACTGATATATTTTTACGCCAAATGCGACAGTATACACAAATGCTTACTCGTCATAATACAAATCCGCGGCAACCATAAAGGCGCTGCGAATAGCAAAAAATGTGCGGTACACCGTACATCATTGATAGTAGTAGATAGATTAATATATGTAAACAAAATAATGAAATTCACCAGTCCTTCGGCACCAATAAACTTTACTACTTCCGTTGAATAAAACTATGAAATTTAATATTTTTACTGCCCCACTTCTGAGAACATTTTGCCTTTCCTATGAAGGAAATCAAATACTTACGATGAACGAGTTATATAAGCCACGCATGCCCAGTGTAACTTCAAATACAGTCTGCACCAACGGCAACATGCCTTCTGTGGTAGATATGGAAGAGAAAGAGATAGTGAATTTTTGGTCACTGGACCTAAGGAAAGCTTTAAACATATCGATTACTAAACGTTACATTTAGTAACCTCCTTTTTGTTGAAGTCATTAAAAATCCTAACTGGAAAATGCTGTCACATTATTGAAACCCCCTCGTGATGTGATGTTGTCCCATAATACGTGATGAGGATCTAATGACATTATACCAAAGATATAAATTGTACTTCAGTCATGTTTGTTTGTAATAACTATCTATTTTTCTTTTTACTATCATTGTCCAATAAAATGTCTGGATACACATTGTTTTACGGAATTTAATTGAAATGAAATGAAATGAAAATGTTTTTATTCAAGTAAGCTTGTTACAAGCACTTTTGAATCGTCCAAAAATATTTTTTCCCCTACCACTTGTTCAGGACGTCTTTTAGCTGACAAGAAGAACAAGCGAAATAAACTTACCAGCTTTTATCATAAGTAATGACATTTACATAAATCATGGCATTACCAAAATAATACATATATTGAACAATAATAAATACAAGTTTCAAAGTCTGTAGGACATAGGTTGGTACATGGTTATAGAACAGAGCGAAGGCTACTAATTCCATGCATTGCGGTCCTTAAAATAATCATCAACTTTATAATAGCCTTTACTCATAAGTATATTCTTTAATTGTAGGTACTCCATTGTTGCAATATCGTACATTTTCTTTAAATAACATATATTTATATCCTATATCCAATAAAAGTCGAAGCTTCTACAGATTTTCGATTGTACAAATTATTTATTTTCCTACATTACGATGTTGCAGTCCAGTCTTGTTGAAGAAACATTTAATTGCGTCACTTTATTGCCAAAACACCCGACTACGTATTTTAATATACACAAATTATATTTCTATAATATTTGACATGTTATGACGTTGCCTAATCCAATGGTTTAAATTAAATTATGAAGCAAAAAGTAGCGGATTATATGTTTTGGATAATTAAATTGTAGCACTGTGAAAAAACTGCAGTTCCAGAAAAAAACATATTTTCAAATTACAGTAACATATGTGACATATAAAATCATAATTGGAATAGTGGATTTACAACTCCGAAATAAATGGCAATATGATAATTATTACGGGTAGTTAATTACCACGTACCTCTGTACCTAAATTAATCAAAAGATGTCATTGTATTACATTAGATTATAATAGTTTGTACATCGTATATTATTAGATAAATATCAACCTAATATTTCACTCAAACCCACCACCTTTAACTTTATTATGTAAAATTTACCAAAACATGCTTCATTCCGTTCCGATAGCTCCAATTTATTTATAGTAATAAAATTGTAAACGATCGTTTTTATTTCCATCAATATCCAACATGAACGTACCAAATTCATTAGATACGTTTAAACTACAGTTAAAATCGGAAACGTTGATTGATAGAGATCCATTTGAAGAGTGGTTGCCCTGATAAACATACGCTAGAAGCATTAATGATGTACTGCAGATTTGTTCTAAGAACGCGAGCTTATATGTGCGCCGGCACCGTTCGAAAACTCGTAGCGGACTGCCGCTGAAGTGAAAGCTAAGCTTGTCTGAAAGAGTAACTGCGGCCCAGGCTGGTATCCGCCTAAAATGGGGTGATCACGGTGGCCGGTGTCGTGTTGCGAGTATAAAAAGCATCTGCGCTCCCCGCCGCCGGTCAGAACGGCTTCAAACGTGAGTACCACCGCACGTGTTGCGTGCGTTTTGTGCAGTGCGTCCGTCAGTGGGCTATACCTATCGCGAGTGCATATACCTTCATCATTGAAAGTGACGTCGAAGGACGCGTCAGCTGATTTATCACGGATTGGATTTGATTTTGTGCAAGTGGTCGAGAAGTGGAACGCTTGGTGGTGGTTCGTGGTTTACCGGTTAAATTGAGGAAGATTCGGATTTTTTGAAAGAAATTTAGTGAAGTAATACAATTTGCTGGTTTGGAATCAGTGATTGATAATAAAGAGCATTACTTATATTTCAATAAATTGATTATCTTTCATTTTAATAGTCATTTTTATTTTGAAAATAAGTAGTAAAAAGTTTTTTCAAACTTTTAATTCGAGCAATCTTTAATTGAATAGAGAATATCAGTACACCAAAATGGAATTATTAATACCTATAACAATCCGAAGTAATTAAAGTGAAAAAAAAACAAATTGACCCACAGACCATCACCAAAAAGACAATAAACAATAATCCATCGGATAAATCGGTTGGCGCGCTTCCAACTCGCATTCCTTGTGACGTAACATCCGCGAAGGGCCGTTGGGGGAAGCTAATAAAAAACGCGCGCGCATAAAACACGGTATTACGCAAACTGCGCGCTGGCACCGATCCCAAAGCAGCTCTCCTCGGATTACAGCCACAAATAGACGCACGCACTCAGCACCGACCCCTTTACACGAAAGACTCGGCTGATCAACTAACAGTGTGTGTGTATTTCGCAGGAAGGCTCCAGGGCTGTGTTCTCGTGTCTCGACTAGCCCAAAAGTCTCGTTAGCCCTCCGAAAATGCCGAAGCCTGCCGTCCAAGAGGGCGATGACCCCGATCCGACCCCATACTTGTTCGTTTCTCTTGAGCAGAAGCGTATCGACCAGAGCAAGCCCTACGATGGCAAGAAAGCATGCTGGGTTCCGGACGAGAAGGAGGGCTTCGTGCAGGGAGAGATCAAGGCCACCAAGGGCGACCTGGTCACCGTCAACCTTCCCGGCGGCGAGGTAATGTATCCCAGGATCAATAGGCAAACTGAATAATGACGATCAGTGGAATATATGAATCTAGGACCTATCAGAAGGCCTACTCTGTGTTTTGAAAATGAAATGTCGTCTACATTCTAAACGCCAATATGACTCCAAAGAAAGACATGTTTCAATTATGATTTGATGTAGGATCTGACATTGCCTCTGACGAAAACATAATCTTCACGGATATGATTTTAAGAAAATTATAAGAACGATTTGAGAATTTCCAATGTTTAGTACGTGAACAAACGAATTAGGACCTCTGAATAAAAAAAGAACTAAGATGATACATAAAAGTGATCCCTTTTTCATAAATGAAGGTCTCGGACACCTGAAATAGTTAAAATTTGTAGTTAATTTATATAGTAACTGTAAAATTTATCAAAAATTAAAGATATAATTCATAAAGTCAAATAAAGTAGAGATAGGTAACTTCGAATTTTTTTAATTACTCCAAGTGTGGGATACCTATATATAGAGAGACTGAACTGACTAAAATTTCATAAGAAACTGAATCAACTAACATTAGTGCTTACATCAAATCAATAAATAGTCTACCGAGCATTTTTCATATTGTTAAATGTTTAACATGGCATTACAAAATGATATCAGTATTAAGTTACATAAAAGGTAGACTTCAATTGATTTTAATGAATTTAATTAATGTTAAAAACTAATTTTCGTTTAAGTCTATACCTAATTTATGAATTGAATGAGCAGGAGAAGACATTTAAAAAGGAGCTCGTCTCACAAGTAAATCCTCCAAAATTCGAGAAAGTAGAAGACATGGCTGACTTAACATATCTTAACGAAGCAGCTGTTCTACACAACCTGCGACAACGATATTATGCGAAACTGATCTATGTAAGTAGGCGCGAAATGCGCCTTAACCATTTCTATAATGCTAATTCAACTATATTTTCCACAGACAAAAGACTTCAAGAAGGATCTTGTAGCTCAAGTCAACCCACCTAAGTACGAGAAATGCGAGGATATGTCCAACTTGACATACCTCAACGACGCTTCAGTTTTGTATAACTTGAAGCAGAGATATTACCATAAGCTTATCTACGTAAGTCAGGAACCAGGCCACCGGATGCAGCCTTGCAGTGTGCATGCACCTCACCTTTCCGATCTTTCAACGTTGTAGACACATTTCTATTTGGATTGGAACCAAGTCTTAAAGTGCAATAACTGACTTTGTACGATGCGATTCGTTTTGGATCGACGTATTGTTTTTAATTTTAAATATAGTACTATCGCTTTGAGCGCTGAATCTATTTTGGCTTCATTTGAAGAGTTATTTTTGTCGTCTTCGAGAAACTTTCGATTGCAGATAAATGTACATTTAAATTAGAAGATACATTTAGAAAAGATATGTATCGTAAAAATAAGATAAATATTTTGAAAATGTGTCTACACGTAAACCATTTTCCCATTTCCAACTATGACTAATCCAAAGACCTTCCTAAGCCGTACTTGAACCCTATTGACCCAGGACAAGTCGGTGGCGATCGTCGGGAGTATTTTTCTTCAGATTTCTACAAACTAGAACTAGAAGTTTCTATATGATTTTTTTCTGTTTCTTATATTTCTTTTGTTTTTTAAGAAAATATGATTTTCAATAAGATGTTAGATGAGGCAAAAAAGTATCAATACAGTACCCCTGCCTCATAACTAAACGTTTTCTTTTTTGAAAGACATTTTTGATGTCTCTTTGTTTTCTATCAAATCGATTTTGTTCTATATTACTAACAGAATTTTCTCCACTTTAAAAGATATCTATTTATAAAATTCAGATTGACTGATGTGCACTAGTAAATAGCACTGGCGAAAATTCTGTTATTGCACACAGGGAACCAAAGTATCAATACAATACTACCCCTGCGTATGTGTGATTGATTTGTCGTGGTAATTTATAGCATATAATAGTAGCAATTCTGTTGCACAGACTAGACTAAATTTATGTTTAGTCCTGTTAAACTTTCTTTCTATTATAATAATAATAACTAAAATGACTATAGAATCATGTTAAAACAAATCCAAATTAAAGTTAGAAATGTATAATTTAGATAGTGGTACCGCGGAATTGGCACCATCATCAATTCCAACCAATTTGGATGTTTTAACTGATTTCCTAAATTTTTTACATAAAATTATTTTATTTTCAAATACAAAATCTCTAGAATGTGCAAGAGCATTTGTGAAACTATTCACAACCTACTTTCTTATTATCATTTCTAATCTGTTAATCTTAACACAGACTTACTCGGGTCTCTTCTGTGTGGCCATCAACCCTTACAAGAGATTCCCCGTGTACACCTTCCGGTGCGCCAAGCTGTACCGAGGCAAACGTCGCTCGGAAGTGCCACCCCACATTTTCGCCATTTCTGACGGCGCTTATGTCAACATGTTAACCAACCACGAGAATCAATCTATGTTGATTACGTGAGTATCAATTCTTTTTTAGATAGAACTTAATAGTAAACGTCACATACATTACTCAGATCTCAAATTAAGTAGCTAAAGAACTTTTTATGGAACTTTGAAACAACGAAGGCATTCCAACACTTAGATGCCCCTAAGATAATATAATTCTGCCAACCGGCAATCGAACCCCGAAACTTAGCGAGGGAGACATTATGAAATTGGCGTACGATTCACTAGGTATGTCATTATGAATGTAAGAACTGACACAAAATTTTGCTGAAAGACCAAAAATTGTAGTTAAATATATATAAGATAAAAACAAAAACTAAAATATGCTTTAACTCTAAAGCAGGTAAATGATTAAAAATTAATGTAAGAACTGGGACCTGAATTTTGGAATTTATTAATCGTAACATCTAAGACAGAAGCACTCATTAAAATTCGTCTGAACTCTTTAGCGGTGAGTCTGGTGCCGGAAAGACTGAGAACACGAAGAAGGTAATCGCGTACTTCGCCACCGTGGGTGCTTCCCAAAAGAAGGACCCCAATCAAGAGAAGAAGGGCTCCCTGGAAGACCAAGTCGTCCAAACTAACCCTGTACTTGAAGCCTTCGGTAACGCCAAGACTGTGCGTAACGACAACTCCTCCCGTTTCGTAAGTATTCTTTTACTCATTAGATACCTTTTAATTTCATTTCTCATACTTTAACTACAAATGGCTACTTTATTCTTCCCCAGGGTAAATTCATCCGTATCCACTTCGGCCCATCTGGTAAACTGGCTGGTGCTGATATTGAGACCTGTAAGTTACTATTGTTTTGCTCTTCTAAATTTATAACTTATGTTGTATATGATAACATATATACATTTTTTTTTCATCAGACCTGCTCGAGAAGGCCCGTGTCATCTCCCAACAGGCCCTTGAGCGTTCTTACCATATCTTCTACCAGATGATGTCTGGATCCGTCCCCGGACTTAAGGGTACGTATATTATACTCAAACACTCCATAAACAAAACATATCGATAAAGCAAATATTACTTAAGATAATCTTAAATTTTTATTTAATTTGAAAGTTTTCAGATATTTAAAATGTGTTAAAGATATGAATTACTTTAAATATTCTGTATTAAAATTTTCATTATTTAATTTATTATAAAAAATATTTTTATAATATAGGAATCCTATCATGTAAGTTTACGTTTATACATATTAGTCATAATAATTAAAGTATATATTTTTATGTTATAAACATAAGCTGGCAAAATTACTCTAATTTACATCTACAAAACCACTGCTCACATGCACACAAGAAGTCCTGTGTTTTAATGTGATATTAAAATGTGTTTTCAATATTTAGAGATGTGTTTGCTGTCAAATGACATCTATGACTATAACATCGTATCGCAAGGAAAAACCACTATTCCCAACGTAGATGATGGAGAGGAATGTACATTGACCGACGTAAGTCCAGCCTTCATTGAGCCCGAAGGCTTCAGTCGGAGTTTCCTATAATGTTTATGACCCTTAAAGCTACCCGCATGAAACCGGGAGATTTTCGAGAATCTTGCCACGGAACTGGCATAAGGTTACTTTTAAAGATATATTTCTTCCTTCGAACCCCTATACTGTAAGCATGTCAATAGTTGTAGATGAAACGCACCAATTATCATATGTGACTGTGATTGGTGTTATTTTATAGCCCAATGCTTTTTATCCAACGACGTCATGGACTACAACATCGTGTCGCAAGGCAAAACCGTCATTCCTGGAGTCGATGACGGAGAGGAAATGCAAATCACAGATGTGAGTCCAGAAAAAGACTACTGGCTCATCTCATCTCTATGTTCTTCCATTTTAGCAACTACGATCGCTTGGTGCTTCGCTTGGTGATGAACCGGTATATAGTGACGCATGTGTATGTCAGATAGTGATTGATATTTACAGAAATGTTGATGCTAAGCAACCGGATGTCTGACTATCCCCTCATAAGTCAGGGCAAGACACGTATACCTGGAGTCAACGATACCGAAGAGTTCGAACTGACGGTCGTAAGTCACGAACTGCGCACGGAGCGTGCCGTTGATTCTGTTATACGTTTATTGGCCCAATTTATTTCTAAATTTCTGACATACACATGTCCGCTCCCTGCCAGAGTTCAGAAAAAGCTTTAAATGCACAGGTTTTATCACGGTATTAAGAAATGTGAAAATGTCCAATCCAGCACAGCACCCCTATATCAATTAAAATGTTGACACGACATACATACGAATAACACTTGTACACTTACAAGCAGGGTACTGCTTTATACTTTAAATCTCGTAATAAATTGAGTGATTTGATTTAATCTACAGCCATGTGTTTGTTGTCCAACGACATACACGATTACTATAACGTGGCCCAGGGTAAGATTACCATTCCCAATGTGGATGACGGAGAAGAATGTCTCTTAACTGACGTAAGTTTTGTAAAAAATCTTATGGGTGGTCGTGATTAGTGACGAAATTGCCATAGGAGGCAAATGTTATCCCCAATATTATATTATCATTAGTGACGAAATTGCCACACGAGGCAAATGTTATCCCCAATATTATATTATCATTAGTGACGAAATTGCCACACGAGGCAAATGTTATCCCCAATATTATATTATCATTAGTGACGAAATTGCCACACGAGGCAGATGTTATCCCTAATATAGTATTATACCCGATATTGTATCACTTAAACATTCAGTTATGGAATGAAATCTTGCAAAAAATATTAGTGTATTCCATGTTTATTATATGGCCACATGGCCACTGTTTTACCTAGAATGTATGACGAAGTTGAAAGTATTACATTTGTTGTAGATTATAGTTATTATAAAGTATATTTATCCCTATCTGTGCGTATTCTAAAATTATTAAAAGCCAAAATATTGCCAGCATCTAATTTACTAATGCAGTCTTTATACATTTCTTACTAATGTGACTAATTAAATCACTCAAGGTAAGTAGCTTTTTTATTATTCAATCGTAATGTTATTTGCTGTCCCCATATATCTCAAATTTTTAATTATATTTATTTATTTAGTTACATAATCACCTTTTTATATGATATGTGACATTTAAAATTATAGCGTCACTGTATTTCTTAATAATTCCAATTTCCTCTTTTCACATTTGCATTATTATTAACAAAAAAGTGGCAAGTCTTATTTCAGTAACTATAATGTAGATTTCGTATTATAGCAAGCCTTCGACATTCTGGGTTTCACCCAAGAAGAGAAAGACAACGTATACAAGATCACCGCCGCTGTTATGCATATGGGTTGCATGAAGTTCAAGCAGAGGGGTCGCGAGGAGCAGGCTGAGGCCGATGGCACTGAGGCAAGTGTTTTGTAAAACTCTTGCCATCAATATTTTGTAACAAGATTTAAAAGAAAACCAAAGTAACTTAATCAACAGAATTACTAAACGTGCAACCCGTAATGGATTTGGATGGAAATATTGTATACATCTAGATGAATAATATTTATAAATTTTAGAAAAACAAATTATGAATCTTTATTTAAAACAGTTCCAACCCATTTGCGTATTTGTAAATCAAAACACCTTAACAGTAAGGATATCAGAGTAATTATATTTTATACGAATATTTGTTGTCAACATTACAGGATGGTGAGAAAGTTGCCAAGCTCCTCGGCGTTGACTGCCAGGATTTGTACAAGAACTTGTTGAAGCCCCGCATCAAGGTCGGCAACGAGTTCGTTACCCAGGGTCGTAACAAGGACCAGGTCACCAACTCCGTCGGTGCTCTTTGCAAGGGCATGTTCGATCGTCTCTTCAAGTGGCTCGTCAAGAAGTGTAACGAGACCCTAGACACCAAGCAGAAGAGGCAGCACTTTATCGGTGTACTGGATATTGCTGGTTTCGAGATCTTCGACGTGAGTATATATAGAAACCCAGTAAGCGTAGGGCCAAAATTTAAGTATTTACTCGAAAATATTTCATTACTAGCGTTTATATTATTCTGATGTATAATTAAAGATAGTATTGATATAGATAGTAATTGAAGTTATTAAAACAGGATCTCATTGATATAATTTTTGTGATATTAATGCTATTTATTTTATTAGTACAATGGGTTTGAACAACTTTGCATTAACTTCACAAATGAAAAACTTCAACAATTCTTCAACCACCACATGTTTGTGTTGGAACAAGAAGAATACACCAAAGAAGGCATTCACTGGGAATTCATTGATTTTGGGATGGACTTATTGGCCTGCATAGATCTTATAGAAAAGGTACACCGAGTGATACCCATCATCCTCGGTTGAAAGAACATCTAGAGCCCTCATAGTTCCATGCAATCGATGTGTCATAGTTTATAGCCCCTGCTAACTAATAAGGTTATTCTACTTAGTATCTAACCGTGTTTACCTGTGATTTATTTTGGGTTTCCTATGTTCCTATTCTTGTAAAAGTACAACGGTTTCGAGCAACTCTGCATTAACTTCACCAATGAGAAGCTGCAGCAGTTCTTTAACCACCACATGTTCGTACTCGAACAAGAGGAGTACAAGAGGGAGGGCATCAACTGGACATTCATCGATTTTGGAATGGACTTGCTAGCTTGTATCGATTTGATCGAAAAGGTAATAGTCGACTGAGACTTCAGTTCGTACCCGTCGCCGCTGGGGCTATAAGTGACGGGATAACTGCACTTCAAACTTTCCGCCATGCGAGAAGAGACTGGCATTGGCTCTCTAGGTTTCGGTTAGGCACATAAACTACGGAACGCAATCCGTAGCCATTTCAATACCTACCCTTGACCTAACATTCCTCATGACTTAATTTCCTGCAGTACAACGGTTTCGAGCAACTCTGCATTAACTTCACAAACGAGAAACTGCAGCAGTTCTTTAACCATCACATGTTCGTATTGGAACAAGAAGAGTACCACCGTGAAGGCATCGAATGGACTTTCATTGATTTCGGCATGGATCTCCAAAATTGCATTGACCTTATTGAAAAGGTATAATGGCGGCAACGCAACAAAGAACGCTTGCATCTCGCCACTGAAGCTCTCGAATAATGTACACTAAAATTAAAATTTCTTTCTTTTTTATCAAAATTTCTTGATTGATTTACATCCGACATTATTCGAGAAGTTCTATCAATGCTATCTGCTCGTTGTGGTTTTTGTGTGTTTCTTTTCGTCCTATCTTTTTGAATAATCTTTTTCACACTGTCAACACTGTTCGAAACACAAAAATAATTAGTTTCAATATATTAACACTTTTGTTCGTTTTTCTTTTTTTCATGTTTACTACCATGCAGGTGAACGGGTTTAATCAACTCTGTGTTAACTTTACGAACGAAAAATTACAACAATACTTTAATCATTTTATGTTCGTGCTAGAACAAGAAGAATATGAGAGGGAAGGGATCCAATGGACCTTTATAGATTTTGGTATGGATCTCCAAGCGACAATTAATTTGATAGAAAAGGTATTAGAAGTATATCGTGTATCGCTTACAGTCATCGGGCGATTAGAGAAGAAAGCTTCGGGCTGGATAAATAAAAGTGAACGCCTGTAAATGCAAAAATATTGCTGGCTATCGACCCTTGCTCTGCGGTATTCCCCGTATAAATAAACATACAGAACAGCTTAAAACACGCAACCTAGCGCAATAAGCAAGCAGAGCTATTGCTGCATCAATTTTAAAAAGTAGAATTTACCAGCTGTCATATAAATGTTTAAGCAAATTTCTAAATATGCGCACGTAATTAATAAACACAAAATCAGACAGTTAATATAGTAGAAAATAATAAATTTTGTAGATAGCTCAGTTGTGATTAACAGATTCATTTTCAGTGTGTCACAGTTGACAAAATTACAAAAAAGTAACATAAAAACACTCAAAAGGGCTTACTTTACTTTACATATGTCGCATGATATTTTTATCTTTATCTGCATGTCCTCTGCTTCCATTTTTTAATACTTAGTTTTAAGAAAGTATTTAGTACAGTATATTATTATATACTTTTATATATTGGAATCAACTTCTTTATGTTTGTGTCCAAAAATCTTACAAGTATACTAATTTCTTACAGAAGATAATATTGTTAGTTATACTTCAATGACAGCATATAAACTGCCACAGTCACAATGACACGTGATTGAGTAAAATATATTTTACATGATAGAAGCACAACAACTTTATAATTGCCTTTAAATTATAAATAGCAGTGCAAAATTTCCATATGTTTACTTGAGATTTTTTTAAACGCAAAAAAAAAAAATGTCACCCCAAAGGCCCAAAAAATCTGAAATAATAACCTGTTTCTAATCTCAGTGATCTGATTTTAGCCTATGGGTATCCTCTCCATCCTTGAAGAAGAGTCTATGTTCCCGAAAGCCACCGATCAGACCTTCGTTGAGAAATTGAACAACAACCACTTGGGCAAGTCTGCTCCTTACCTGAAGCCCAAACCTCCCAAGCCAGGTTGCCAGGCCGCTCACTTCGCCATTGGTCACTACGCCGGTAACGTAAGTATTGACACTAAAGTATAAAATAAAATTTAAACAGCTTACAGATAGCTCTTCAACTTATTTATTGTGAAACAGGTCGGCTATAACATCACTGGCTGGCTTGAGAAGAACAAGGATCCCCTTAACGACACTGTCGTTGACCAGTTCAAGAAGGGTCAGAACAAGTTGTTGATTGAGATCTTCGCCGACCATCCTGGTCAGTCTGGCGATGCTGGTGGTGCTGCTGGTGGCAAGGGTATGTGTTACTTCAAATATTGTAATGAAATAAATTGTAAACTAATTTTTGTTTCAAGTTATATACATTATTTGATTATTTTTATATTATTAAAATTTTACATTAATGCAGCTGAGGGTTGATAGAAATGAAGATCACTACAGGTATAATGAGCTGAAAATAATTCTGTGAACATACACTTCTTAGAACACATAATATTACCATTATTTAGCTCTATAATTTCATCGTGGAACCTTAAGTAAGGGCAAAAATTTACTTCCTTGCTCTTACATCATTTTCACCATTTATAAAATTATTTGTTTTCACCACATACTTCAACTGCCTAAATTTATACAATTTTCATGCACTTTTAAACAAAATAGGCGCTGGTGGCAAGCGTGCTAAGGGTTCTGCCTTCCAGACCGTATCATCACTCTACAGGGTAAATTGGAAATCATCTCCAAAATTAGCTTCAATGCCTTCTAAGTGGCTTCATTGTCTTCATACACATGCTTGAGATTGGTTTCTAGAGAGATATTTTCGACCATTAACCAAATTATAGAATTTGTACAATATCCTACTAGGAGCCATCTCCCATGCTCTCATATTAATCTCGTCTACGTCTGCGTATGTTTTACAGTTCAGTTCGTGTCGACGTTTATGTGTAACAATTGAAGGTGTAATAGTTGGTGATTTCTAGGTCATGCCATGCGACGCTACTGTGTTCGTCTGATTTACTAATGTTATGCTTGTTAATGTATATCCATAGGCGGTCGCGGTAAGAAGGGCGGTGGTTTCGCTACTGTCTCCTCTGCTTACAAGGTTACTCATGGTGATATTATAAAGTAGATGATTTTCTTTTTTATGTTCGATGTAGACTCCTACTTATATGTAGATCTCCGTCGGCAGATTTTAGTAACATGTATTTGATTGTAGATAATGATTAAACGTTTTAGACGTATTACGTTCCTACAATATTATTATCGTAATTATGCACCATATCCTTTAGCCGCACAGGACTTACGGTGTGTGTGGCTCGTAAATAACCTCATCCTACGCAAAAGTAGATTTTGAAACAATCGGTATGATGTAAAATTACCGCTATTTTGCTGCTGGACTGTTTTGCTTTAAACTGTGTTAGTGTGATTTATTGTTTTAACATTAGTTTGGTGTGTTTTATCTAATAATTCATTATCCATTAAAAAAACCTTTGATATCATCACATTCACTTTTTATATTATTTTTACTGTATTTTCAATGTATAATTTGACTACAGACCGTCAAAAATTTAATTTTTTACGTCCAAGAACCAAGAGATTTATTATTTATTGTAAAATTTAACTATTTAGCAACATCATCCCACAAATGTGTACATTGACTTTATCATATTCGCAGGAACAACTTAACAACCTAATGACAACGCTGAGGTCAACTCAACCTCACTTCGTGCGTTGTATCATTCCCAATGAGTTGAAACAGCCTGGTAAGTAGTACGTGATTGAAAGAACTAATTGCAAGGTTCTATATCTTTATTAGATTTACAACATTTACTTTCCTCGTATCTTAGGTCTCATCGACTCTCATCTTGTAATGCACCAGCTGACATGTAACGGTGTGTTGGAAGGCATCCGTATTTGCCGTAAAGGTTTCCCCAACAGAATGGTATACCCCGACTTCAAGCTCCGGTAAGATTTCATTTCTATTTTAACTTCAATTTCATATTCAAAATAGTCTCGAAACAAATTTGTATTTTTCATATGATATGTTTATTTGAACTTATTTTAATTCGACCACATTTTTAGTTGTTGAGCCAAAACAAAATTCTTTTACTCCTGGAATATGTGGAACATTTTATTATTAGTATATTGCAGCTGACTCAACTAACGTCATCGGGCCTTATGTCCGTGTTATGACTAACGTTTTCTAAATTTATTTCTCATCCATTTCAACTGGAATTCATGCCACTTAGCAGGTGGATTTAGGTATTTTTAATTTCTGAAACTGATTCATCAATAAATAAAATATATTTATAAAACAGTTACATGATTCTTGCACCCGCCATCATGACTGCCGAAAAAGATCCGAAAGAAGCTGCTAGAAAGTGTTTGGAGTCTGTTCAACTTGACCCTGAAAGCTATCGTATTGGTCATACTAAGGCAAGATGAGACTCTGATACCATCCTAGAATGGTGTTAGCATGATAGAACCCAAAGTTGAATATTATATTAATCTCTAAAGAAATAGAGATCTAGTATTATACCCAAACTTCCAATTAAGAACCATGAAGGTTATGAAAGTTTTTTTTTGTTAGTTTTTGATTTGCACCCACAATACCATTATTTCACAGTAGAAATGTTTTAGCGAATGTTACCTTTACCGTTGTAAATCTATGAAGAATTACTGATAAAGAAATTGGTAGTTTTTTAGATCCTTTGTTTTGCTCCTCGAACATTTATCAATAGCCAAGGGAATGTCCCTGTCTTGTTGTAATATAGAATGTTCCTTCATTGTGTGCCCTAATTTTGATAATGTAGCTACAAGATCCTGGCCCCACAAGCTGTCGACAAGGAAAGTGATCCTAAGAAAATCGCCCAAGTCATCCTGGATGCCACTGGTTTGGATGTCGAGTCCTACCGTCTCGGTCACACCAAGGCATGTCTTGAACCCATCGGTAGTTAGAGTTGAAGTGACAAGCAATCCTATACACCCGGTGGATTGCTACACTCCCAAACGCTTAGTCAAATTACTACAGCACCATATAAGACTGGTGATTTGATTTGACAATAGGAACCCTTAAGCTGCTAACCCTTAGAGTCTTGATACGCAGGCTCCTGTTTGTGTTCCCTTTACCTTTACCCTTTACTTTTCCAACACACACATTATACACTATGTTATCATTTTTTGTATACTCCTCAACGCAGATACAAAATTCTGTGCCCGAACCTGATTAAAGAACCAATTACGCCTGAAAAAGCCACCGAAAAAATTCTCGAACACACCGGCTTGGATGCCGAGTCTTTCAGACTCGGAAAGACGAAGGTAGATTACAGCATGGAAACACACATTACACTTAACTTCTGTTTTAATTTTCATGCATGGTATATTTAAAGTCTGTGTTTATCCCATACCCATAATATTTTTTTATTTTTTCATATTAAGCAGATACCTTACGGTATTATTTATTAAATCTATGATTTACATATAATATTATTTTAATATGTATCAATAATAATTACATTTAGTGTTTTGTTATGTAAGTACTTGTCTATGCGCTATACCTCAAATAAATTATATATCAACGTAAATTTTAGATGGTTATCTATCTCTATGAACTGCACTTTTCATAAAATATTTTAAATGCACTTAATCGTATGCAACTTCTTGTGAGTGAAATGCATGTCTCCAATGCAATTTTAATGCTTCTTTCGTACTTACACATTACTTGGGCGAGCAGGTCTTCTTCCGCGCTGGTGTCCTGGGTCAGATGGAGGAGTTGCGTGATGACAGGCTGTCCAAGATCGTGTCTTGGCTCCAAGCTTACATCCGTGGTTACCTGTCCCGCAAGGAATACAAGAAGCTGCAGGAACAGAGGTATGTAATAAAAAAAAGCGTTATAGATTAACTATGACTCAAATTTTTATAATCTATTATAATATAGTTGCCCCTCAGTATTGCTGTGCCCTTACAGGGCGTCACTTGTACAAAATTTATTTATAACATCTGTATGACCTGTGACTTGCATTGAATAAATTGAAATTGAAATATAATTTTATTATAGGTTGGCTCTCCAAGTTGTCCAGCGCAACTTGCGCAAGTACCTGCAGCTCCGCACCTGGCCCTGGTGGAAGTTGTGGCAGAAGGTCAAGCCTCTCCTCAACGTCACCCGTATCGAGGATGAGATCGCGGTAAGTGTGTTTCGTTACCTGCCCCATGATTATTATGATTAAGCACTCTGACCCAATATGTGGAATATAGCACGCGTGATTCAGCGTAACGCAAATAGATTGGACCGCGCCCACCTGTCGGTTACGTGACACCGCAGCACCTGCGCAGCCATTTCTGGATACCCCGCCCCTCCCGCTCCTGCGCGCTTTTTCCTTACACTATGTATGTTCCTGCGGGGGCGCAGGCGCGCCGCTGGAAATCTCCAGCGGTACTCAGTTGCTGAGTGGTCGGCGGCGCGCGCACCCTTCCCAGCACTCACGAACGAATCGAATTGCATTCCTTAGTGTTGATATTTACTTGATGATTTTAATAATATTTAATTAAATATGGCGACAGTTCAAGTGTCCGAATGGAACGAAACGGTGAATAAAGAGAGTGAAATATTACAGAAATTGGAGGAGAAAGCACAGAAGGCGCAGGAGGCTTTCGAGAAGGAAGAGAAGCTACGCAAGGAGTTGGAGGTCCTCAACGCTAAGCTCCTCGAGGAGAAGACCAACCTACTGGCTAACCTCGAGGGCGAGAAGGGATCCCTCTCCGAAGTCCAGGAGCGTGCCGCCAAGCTCCAGGCACAAAAGGCCGACCTCGAGACCCAACTCAGGGTAAGTTAACATTAATTAGATTTAAAACGTTAGAGAACATTTCCGAATTAGAACGATTTATTTCTTTAATAAAAAATATTTGATTTTGTGAATGCAAAATTTATCAAACATAATAATTAAATACTTGCTAATTAAATGCTTTATATTAAAACATTCAGATTCCGTTTATATGTGTTCGTTAAACGTATTTTTATATACCTTTATTTCAAAGTGGCTTTAGATCGACATCATAATCTGAACCATAGCGAACCATAATCAGATTTACTTAGTACTGTATAAAGTAACTGTAACTAGTAATTGCAAAATTCCATATCGAAACATAAATAGCAATGTTATTCAGGTCACGAATTAGGCCTACGCGATTAAAATTCTCAGCTAATTAATTAAACAGGTTATCATAACACTATTAATTAGATAGTGTTGGCACCTGTTCACGATAGAAAAACATTCACCATCTTCTAATATTACAAGCCAAACGTGTATTACAAACATACTGAGTTGCGATATACATTGCTAAATTTGTCCGACGTGATTCTTTAAATAAACACTAAGTTTGTTTATACGGGAAATAGTATGAAAGTTAAAAATACACATCTGCAAGCTGCACGATTTTATTGCAAATCATTATATACAGAACGATAGAAAACAGGCACACAGTTCTAGACATTAAGGCAGATGTTTCTCTTATTGAATTTTTTACTCTTTACGTAATAATTTTATTTTATTTTAGGACACCCAAGACCGCCTTACTCAGGAGGAAGATGCCCGTAACCAGTTGTTCCAGGCTAAGAAGAAGTTGGAACAGGAGGTTTCAGGCCTGAAGAAGGACGTCGAGGACTTGGAATTGTCCGTCCAAAAATCCGAACAGGACAAGGCTACCAAGGACCACCAGATCCGCAACTTGAACGATGAGATCGCCCACCAGGATGAGCTCATCAATAAGTTGAACAAGGAGAAGAAGCTCCAGGGTGAGAGCAACCAAAAGACCTCTGAGGAACTCCAGGCTGCCGAAGACAAGGTTAACCATCTCAATAAGGTCAAGCAGAAGCTCGAACAGACCCTTGACGAGCTTGAGGACTCTTTGGAGCGCGAGAAGAAGTTGCGCGCCGACGTTGAGAAGCAAAGGAGGAAGGTAGAGGGCGACCTCAAGCTTACTCAGGAGGCGGTCGCTGACCTCGAACGCAACAAGAAGGAGTTGGAGCAGACCATCCAGCGCAAGGACAAGGAAATCTCATCCCTTACCGCTAAGTTGGAGGATGAGCAATCCCTTGTCAGCAAACTGCAGAAACAAATCAAGGAACTGCAAGCCCGCATCGAAGAGCTCGAGGAAGAGGTTGAATCTGAGCGACAGGCTCGCGCCAAGGCTGAGAAACAACGTGCCGACCTCGCCCGTGAGCTCGAAGAGCTGGGTGAGCGTCTTGAGGAAGCCGGCGGTGCCACCTCCGCTCAGATCGAGCTGAACAAGAAGCGTGAGGCTGAGCTGAGCAAGCTCCGCCGCGACCTCGAGGAGGCCAACATCCAACACGAGTCGACCCTCGCCAACCTCCGCAAGAAGCACAACGATGCCGTTGCCGAGATGGGCGAGCAGCTCGACCAGCTCAACAAGCTTAAGGCCAAGTGAGTATATTTTTTTATATTACTTCAGTAATGAAAAATACGTTATAATTCTTTCTACTATCTTTTTCTTTTTTTTCTATGTGTACACATACCTGCGTACAGGGTGCCCGCCCTAATGATATTACAAAAGCTTGATGTTTAAAAATGTGTATTGAAGGAAAAGTCGTTTTTACTAGATAATACTTTGATATTATTGTAACTGCAATGATAACGCAGGGCTGAGCATGACCGTGCGTCTTGCTACAACGAGCTTAACAACACGCGTGCGGCTGTCGATCAAGTCGCGAGGGAGAAGGTAACATGTCGACCGAGAGGCATGTCTACCGCCTGGGGTGAACCTTGCATGGAGCCTTTTAGAACCTCTCCAGTATATTACTATTACACAACTAAAATTTACACCTATAATCGGACAAAATCTTTTGTTATTATAATACAAAAAAGCCCCTAGACCCATCGGTAGGGATAAAGCATTATATTAAACTGTTTTGTGGTGTTCTATTCATTCAGGGCTGAGAAAGAGCGCTCTCAATACTTTAGCGAAGTCAATGACCTTCGTGCCGGTGTCGACCACTTATCCAACGAAAAGGTACAAAATGATCATCACGTGGAAATGTGTTGGCACCATTACAGGATGAACATCGCTTCGCAGCTTTTAATTTGCAGCAAATCAGTGACTTAATAATAAAGAACACAAAACACATAAAACAAAATAACTCATTATACCAATTAGATACTCGTAATAACAAATACTAATTAAGGTAACTTAAACGAGCTCAATCGGCATGTTAGCAACAGCGCTTATAATTAAAAACGTTTTCATTCCTTAATGTAATATAGATAAAGCATGAATTAATAATAATATTAGCAGTAACGGAACTAAGTTTTTAATCAATATTCATAATAAATACCTCTAACTAATAATAATGTTAAAACTTACATTTCATATAGAATTTTTCACACGAATAACTGATACATTGAAGCATAAACAGAAAAATGACTCATCAATTATTTTATTCTCCACTTATTGTTTTATAGGCTGCCCAAGAGAAGATCGTCAAGCAACTGCAACACCAACTCAACGAAGTCCAAAGCAAGGCTGATGAAGCTAACCGCACCCTCAATGACCTGGATGCCGCCAAGAAGAAGATGTCCATCGAGAACTCTGACCTGCTCCGCCAATTGGAGGAGGCCGAGTCACAGGTGTCACAGCTGTCGAAGATCAAGGTGTCCCTTACCACCCAACTGGAGGATACCAAGAGGCTCGCTGACGAAGAGGCTAGGGTGAGTGAAAAAATCGTGTAATCTATCGAAAAAGTTAATTTAAATATCACTTCATTTTATTATTACTTTAATTTAGTAAGTATGTAAAAATCAAGTAATTATATAACAGACAGTGCAGAATCAGTAATTAGAATAAGATTGAGACTTGAATCGATTACTTTAATTGAAAAGGCGGTAGAAATTTAATGCCATTAATTTAAAAATACCCTGTTTATCAATGGTCACTATTTAAAATATCAAACCATATTTTTTCACAGGAACGCGCCACACTTCTTGGCAAGTTCCGCAACCTGGAGCACGACCTGGACAACATCCGTGAACAGGTTGAGGAGGAAGCCGAGGGCAAAGCTGACCTGCAACGCCAACTGTCCAAGGCTAATGCCGAAGCTCAACTGTGGCGCTCCAAATACGAGTCTGAGGGTGTCGCCCGCTCTGAGGAGCTTGAGGAGGCTAAGCGTAAGCTCCAAGCCCGCCTTGCCGAGGCCGAGGAAACCATCGAGTCCCTCAACCAGAAGGTTGTGGCCCTTGAGAAGACCAAGCAGCGTCTTGCCACCGAGGTCGAAGACTTGCAACTCGAGGTCGACCGTGCTACTGCCATCGCTAATGCTGCCGAGAAGAAACAGAAGGCATTTGACAAGATCATTGGAGAATGGAAGCTCAAGGTCGACGATCTTGCCGCCGAGCTTGATGCCAGCCAAAAGGAATGCCGCAACTACTCCACCGAATTATTCCGCCTCAAGGGTGCTTACGAAGAAGGTCAAGAACAGCTTGAAGCTGTCCGCCGTGAAAACAAGAACCTCGCCGACGAAGTCAAGGACTTGTTGGACCAAATCGGCGAAGGTGGCCGTAACATTCACGAGATTGAGAAGGCCAGGAAGCGCCTCGAAGCCGAGAAGGACGAGCTTCAAGCCGCTCTCGAGGAGGCCGAAGCTGCTCTCGAACAGGAGGAGAACAAGGTTCTACGCGCTCAGCTCGAACTCTCACAGGTCAGACAGGAGATCGACAGACGCATTCAGGAGAAGGAAGAGGAATTCGAGAACACACGCAAGAACCACCAACGCGCTCTCGACTCCATGCAAGCTTCCCTCGAAGCTGAGGCTAAGGGCAAGGCTGAGGCTCTACGCATGAAGAAGAAGCTCGAAGCTGATATCAATGAACTTGAAATCGCTCTTGACCATGCCAACAAGGCTAATGCCGAAGCCCAGAAGAACATCAAGCGTTACCAAGCCCAGATCAAGGACCTCCAGACTGCCCTCGAAGAAGAACAACGTGCCCGCGACGACGCCCGCGAACAGCTCGGTATCTCAGAACGTCGTGCCAACGCTCTACAGAACGAGCTTGAAGAATCACGTACCCTCCTGGAACAGGCAGACCGTGCTCGCCGCCAAGCAGAACAAGAACTTGGCGATGCTCACGAACAGCTCAACGAACTCTCTGCCCAAAACGCTTCCCTGTCCGCCGCCAAGAGGAAACTCGAATCCGAGTTGCAGACCCTGCACTCAGACCTCGACGAGCTCCTCAACGAGGCTAAGAACTCTGAAGAGAAGGCGAAGAAGGCTATGGTTGACGCCGCCCGCTTGGCTGACGAGCTCCGCGCTGAACAGGAACACGCGCAAACCCAAGAGAAGCTGCGCAAGGCCCTCGAACAACAGATTAAGGAACTGCAGGTCAGGTTGGACGAGGCCGAAGCTAACGCGCTCAAGGGAGGCAAAAAGGCTATCCAGAAACTCGAACAGAGAGTCAGAGAACTCGAAAACGAGCTTGACGGAGAACAGAGGAGGCACGCTGACGCACAGAAGAACCTGCGTAAGGCCGAAAGGCGTATCAAGGAGCTGACGTTCCAGGCCGAGGAGGACCGCAAGAATCACGAACGCATGCAGGACCTCGTCGACAAACTGCAACAGAAGATCAAGACATACAAGAGGCAGATCGAGGAGGCGGAAGAGATCGCCGCCCTCAACTTGGCTAAATTCCGCAAGGCTCAGCAAGAGTTGGAGGAGGCCGAAGAAAGGGCAGACCTCGCCGAGCAGGCTATCAGCAAATTCCGTGGCAAGGGACGCGCAGGATCCGCCGCGAGAGGAGTCAGTCCGGCGGTAAGCAACTGTCTTTCTTTGTAGATCCGTTTTAATTATTCAAAATAATAAACATAAATTTTTCCATTCAGGCGTCCGTTAAAGGGCGTCCATAAGTCAGCACTGGACATATGTAAGTTGGCAACTTTTCGTTGCACGCTCCCCACAGCACACGGAACAGTGCTGGTCCCTTTGTTGTGTTCCTCATCTAGTATCAGATAGTTTTTAGTACCCGACAAACATCAAACCGGCATGTATCCCGCATGTCATTACTGACCTCATGGCATCGAATGATGGTCCGGTATTAACGTATGGTTATTCTATTGCAGCCCCAGCGCTCGCGCCCCACCCTGGCTGATGCCTTTGGCACCTTCCCACCAAGGTTCGATCTGGCGCCCGAAAACGATTTCTAAACGTTCCACTACACAAAAAACGGACTGTACAGATTTTTCGTTGATATATGTAACTTAATTTTTTTTATACATAGCAGTTGAATATGTGTTACGAAAGCGTGAAAACGAGAAACTGTAAAAATGTTTTGTAAACCACAAAAAAATATACACTCTAGTGATCTAATCTTTTTACGAAAGGCTATTTTGTAACTTGTTGATATTTATTTATATAATTTATTACCGTGACGTATGTATCGAGGGGGGGTGCGGGGCCCCGTGCGCTCGCCGCTTGCCCTATAGAGACACGACCCCCAGCCCCTTACCGGCGCCCCGCCCGCGGGGGCCCGCACTCCCTCTGATTTGATATCTAATAAAGCGATATCGTTGTCATAAAATACTAAGACATGCAGTTTTATTTTTACCGTAACGACACAAGACCGTTCAAATTTAATTTAGAACTTGATATTTTTTCTGATTAATATCAAACTCAGAAAGACATAATAGTACACCTACATACAATATGCTGCTTCAAATTAATAAATTAATAAAATCAAAATATATATGAAGAGTTATTTTAGTGGTAGTAAAAGTAATATCGTAAACTTTTATTTATTAATTTTAAAATAATTTCCACTGCAATCTAATTCTTGCATAAATAATTTTATTTGGAAGTGTAATAATAATATTAATTTGTACATATATACATATTAATCAAGCCCAAGTATTTGCTTTTTTGGATAGAATAAATACTTAGCTTAATAGTTCCATTCTCGAGGAAAAATATACAATTATGAGTCGAGCAATGACGAGTAAAATCGCGGTTCACAGCTAGTGGGCTATATAAATAAAGGCCTTATCTGTATATAAAAGAAATATCATTATAATCTATATTAGTATTATAAAAAAGAAAGTTATTTGTTTGTTTCTGAAAGTTCTTTCACCTACTAGAATGTACATAATACACGGGCTATATGACCTGCAAATGCGAAAGTTTGTGAGGATGAATGTTACTCTTTCACGCAAAAACTATTCAACGCATTTTGATGAAATTTGGTATACAGATAATTCTAAGCCGAAATTAACATTACTACTTTTAATCCCACTAAACGGTTCTCTAGAGATAAAAACTGGCAAAACATCGTGTAAGCCACGCGGACGAAACCTCTAGCAGAATGTTATAAGTAACGTGGGTAAAGACGCGGCAAAACAGCTTTATTAAATAAATCATCATCATCATCACCATCACCAGCCCTTTTACGTCACCACTGCAGGGGCTCAGGCCTTCCTTATGGATGGTTAAGGAGGATGGGCCATGACCCTCCACGCTGGCCCAATGCAGATTGGAGGGTATTAACGACTGCAAATGCAGCCGGGACCAACGGCTTAACGTGCCTTCCGAAGCACGGAGTAGCTCGAGATAATAATTTTTTGGTCACCCATCCCGTGACCGACCCTTGCGAAAGTTGCTTAACGACTACGATCGCGGGCCGCGGCGCTTATCAACTACGCCACCGAGCTACTCATTACTATTACTATTAAATAAATGTATTCACAATATAAAATTGATCGTTATTTAAAAGGTAAATACGTGAACAATCGAGGTATACTTGAGACGGACCAGCAACAAGGCAAACAGGTTCGAATCCTGGCACAATCACCTGCTACGGTTACATTATTTATGTTCTTGAAACTACAAATTAGTAGCAACTGATATGTGCTCAGCTGATTTTTTGAATCCATGAAAATAAAATATTGATATTTAACCTAAAATATTAATAATTTCATAACATACACAATAAGAGAACGGACATACAACACAATGTTTTTATATCCAAGTAATCGTGATCAACGGATGAAACGATTAAATTAAGCAAAATAACTGTAACAATATGTAAAGGTACATTTCGATATTATTTTTTTTTATAAATAAAAGACTATTACTACTTCTTATTTCGAGTACATACAACATGTAGTTTTGAATTTAGACCCAACAATTGAGACGATCATTATTTTATAGTTTTTATCCGCGATGGGTATAAGATGATTCTAGAAAAATTAAGATATTTATTAACATTTCGTTGCTTCTCGACACAACAAAGGTTTTTATAATAATTGAAATTCTTATTATAATTCGAGTTATTATAATATGAATACATTTGACAGTATATCTGTGCAATATTGTTTTGTTTACCATCACTTATTACATCTTTGTCTTCATAGGAAGTCTTCAATACAATCTGGGACTCTTCAAGGCAAGAGTGAATCGGTTCCTTCTAGGCAAGCACGCTCCATCTTAGACCACTGCATTGCTTACCAGGTGATCTGTGGTCAAGTGCTTGCCTATCTAGAATAAAAATGGCATAAACGTTAGTTTTAAAAAATCCATAGATATATCTATATATTGCAACTAAAAGGTTATCCATCTGCCGGTTTTTTTTTTGAACTGCCTTAAAAAGGAGGAGGTTCACAATTCGACAGTTTTTTATTAATTTAATTTTCATACATTCCTTTTTTTTTATTTCAAGTCGTATTACGTATAAATATAGGTTAGCAAAGTTTCATAGTGTCACTAGAACAATATTGGTAAAGTTTCATTTTCTATTTTAAATATTAATAAAAATTATCTATTAGTATGTTTATTTGTTTGTGAAATACCTCCCCCGAGGACAATACCTATATAATCCATTTATCTACTGTACTATATACTAGTAGAACCAACATGTTTTATAGGTCATCATTATCAAAAGATGTGTTTATATATATTTTATCATTATTATTATTTATCTACTGTACTATATACTAGTAGAACCAACATGTTTTATAGGTCATCATTATCAAAAGATGTGTTTATATATATTTTATCATTATTCTCATGGTACAAATACTGCAGAGGCAGAAAGAGGCGCAGAATTTTATTGAAATGCACTTAAAATTCATCTCAAAGCGCCGTTAACGGACACAAACATATTGAACCAGCAGATTATGACAGCATTCGATTCGTTGACTCAGTGTACGTACGACCACATTCAAGTGAAGATGTTCGCACGTCTTCTCGTATTTTGCTCGTGTGTTTTCCACGTGTTAGGTTTGTCTTGTTATTGGAACAATAAGTGTACTTATACTAATTACGGTAGCAAAACAATATACGATGATGTCAGAGGCGATTTAAGAGATACACCAGAATTAGAAGGTCAGTACGTGACAATGATAAGGGATCAAAAATAAATATTAATATTTATATAAGTGACAGTAATTAATTATAATAATATTATATATAATTATATCATAAATAGGTATTAGAGAACATCACATTAATAGCTCGGATTATAAAAAGTAGCTAATACTCTTTTTTTTGGAAATTAGAAACAAAAAATGCACCAGAAGAGCCATGCTGGACACAATGTAGTGACATTTATTTTCTATATTGACTCAACCTGAAATCGAACCCAGGTATGGTGACACTATAACGGCATGCGAGCCGCTCGGCCACGGAGCTCGTCAAATTAAATTATTGAAGCAATGTTATGTTGAATTGTAAAACTATTTTATTAAATAGTTTTATAAATATATTTTCACGTTAAAATTGATAATCATTTTTTTTATTACTTACTAGCTTTCCGCCGGTGGTTTCGCCCGCAGGGTCCTGTATTATAGATATAAACATTCCTCTAGAATCACTCTGTATGATGTTGAAAATTGCATTAAAATATGTGTATAAAAAATCTCAGTGTACAGACCAGCCCCTGCAGTGGGCACGTAAAAAGGCTGACAATGTACAGAGAGCGGGAACCGTATTTGTTTTGTACTATGTAGAAAATATAGAGATAAAATGGAGATCGACAAAAATCGTAGTCGTGAGTCATAGCAATGTGGCTTGTGAACACGATTATTATTGTTATTAATAAATGAATTTACATATTTTTATATATCTACTGTAGGTATAACAAAACGCTTATCTTTTTTCTTTATAGTTATTTATTTTACTCAGTTACAATGTTCGCACGAGATCACAATAAAATTGATAATCCACGTGACGTTAGAGGTCGTTTAAAATTGTTATTAAACAAACACGTCGAGTGTATTAAACACTATTCTGCAAAGTACTTAACTCGACGTCGAGCGCAGTGCGGTGACAGCATAGAGCTTCAATGAAATAAAACCTTTAGTGCCTTTTCAAGAGGGTTTCGTTTCATTGAAGATCATTGTTTGACAGAAGTGCGCCTGTCATCAGGTTCGGGACTGTTCTTTTGAGAAAATAGCATTAGTGGAACTGTGGGTTAATTGACTGATCGTTTTCATAAGTATATTGATAGTGATAAGGATTTATCACTATCAATATTTCATCCTATGTCAAGTTCAATACTTGAGTGTTTTGGTGACGCGGCCATAACTTGCCGGGTTTCATCTCCCATGAGACGGTGTCATCATCATCATCAGCCCTTTTACGTCCCCACTGCAGAGGCTCAGGCTTATTCACTACGCCACCGAGCTACTCCGAGGGCAGTTCACTATCGGGTTCACGGAGGAGAATCCTACTCACCCCCTGTTGCTTGCTACGTAGCAGAGACAATGTCAGAAGCTTTTCCACGACGTTAAAAAAGTTAGATTCACGTCAACTGAAGTTAAGAACGTAAAGGCAACTCGATTTGTTTTATTTTTTTTCTCTTATTACAATTTTTTATGTTAATACTATTTTTGTTTTTTTTTTAACATACAAATTTGCTGTAGATACATACTTCAAAGTTGGTATTTTCAATCTTCGCCGGAAACAATGGTTTATTCATTTGTCACAACACATATAATATTACGCGAGTCTGAGGATCGGTTCAGAGTACCTCGGTGGCGTAGTGAATACACGCCATGTCTCGCGATTGTAGTTGTTAAGCAACTTTCGCAAAGGTCGGTCACAGGATGGGTGACCAAAAAAATAATATGTCAAGCAACTCCAAGCTTTGTAAGGCACGTAAAGCGATTGGTCCCGGTTGTATTTGCAGTCGTTAATATCCTCCAATTCGCATTGGGCCAGCATGGAGGGTCATGGCCCATCCTCCTTAATCCATAAGGCTCCTGCAGTTGGTGACGTAAAAGGGCTGATGATGATGATGAGGGCCGTTCAAATTTGACGGGACCTCAGTTAAGCCCCTCGCTATAGATCGCATAACGCGTCTTACTGCTATCCGTAACATACATGCAGTATGGTATGAGTATGAAACGGTAATGGTATGAAAAGAAATGCGCTTGGTCTTTGAAAGAACTCGCAGTTTACACAATAGAGATCGAGAAAGTAGTTTCGATTGTCGCCAACCCGTGTTGCCTTCATACTCCACAGGCGTACCGCCGATAAGTTTTCACAAGGTATAATGAACTAGCTGTTTTCCCGCAACTTTGCCGCAAAATTATAGCCTATGACATCCGTGATGTAGCTTCCCGTAGGTAGAATCGCTCTGAAACTATCGGTCCAGTAGTTTTGGGGCAAATTCAATGCAAACAAAGAAACAACCAAATCTTTCCTCTTTATAATATAAGTATATCTTAGGTATAAGAGGTTCGATGGCGTAGTGGGTTAGTGCATTCGGATTAAATTGCAGTGAAATAAATAAGTAAAATACTGCACAACAAGGACATACTTATTTTACATAACCAAGTACAAACGACAATCTCATCGCTAGCAAGCGATTTCTTCTAGGCAACCTAGCATTACATGGAAAATAGAACAATAAATAGCCGATTGTGCATACATATACGTGATGACATCCTAACGCCTATTATAACCCCAATCCTAAACAAATCCATTGCTTCTAGTATTTTTCCAAGAATATGGAAGGAAGCTCAGATAATTCCCCTCCCTGAAAATCCAATCCAGTTACGATGTCTGATTTCCGACCTATTTCCTTACTTCCTTTCCTATCCAAGGTCCTAGAGCGTCTAATTAACAGACAATTAAGTGTCTTCCTAAATAAAAATAACCTATTCAATCCTTTCCAATTCGGTTTTCGTCCCGGTCATAGTACAGCGAGTGCCTTAGTTAAAATCGGCGACGACATTCGCTCTGGTATGGAGAAGCGCAAGCTTAAAGTATTAACATTACTTCATTTTAGTAATGCTTTTAATAATGTTGATTTTGACATACTGTTAAGCTTTCTCAGTTCCCTTAACATATCTCCAACTGTTATTGTCTGGTTTCGTAGTTATCTACACGGACGCCGGCAACGTGTACGTATAGGAGACTCCTTCTCTGAGTGGAGCTTTACCGGTGTGCTTTCTCCCTTATTATTCGCCATTTTTATTAATTCTATTACCCATAATCTAACTTTCACCTACCACTTGTAAGCTGATGAACTTCAAATTTATACACAAGAGCGATTTGATAATTTGAACGATGCTATCCGCAAGATCGATATTGATTTAGATCGTATAGTGAACTGGAGTTCGTCATTTGATTTGTATGTTAATCCTCAGAATACTTGCAGATGTTTGCTATCCAGACCTTACAGTTGAGCTTCTTAATAAGCTAGAACGTCTCCAAAATTTCGCCATAAGGTTTATATTCGGACTGCGTAAATATGACCATGTCTCTCACTACCGTCAAAGATTGAATTGGCTTACCATTCGCCGACGCAGAGACCTACACATATTATCCCTTCTCTTTTCTGTGCTGTTCAATCCATTGACACCCAGATATCTCAAGGAGCATTTTAAGTTTCTTTCTTCTACTCACAATCTTCCCCTTCGTTCATCTGACAATCTCCGCCTTTACATACCCCCTAACTTTTCTCAATTTTACAGCCAATCTTTTACCCTGCGAGCTATCTATTTATGGAATTCCTTACCTGAGAATGTTAAACGCTGGAGTCTTTCAAATCTCTAGTTGCGAAGTTCTTTTTGTAAGATGAACAGAAATCTATTTGAAATGTTGCCTTCTTATTATCTTAAGCATCGTATATTTATTTATTTTATATACCTTTATTATCATATTTATATTTGTATTGATATTATTAAATTTATTTGTAACGCGCACTGTAGGTAGGCACATTATTGATATCATTGCTTCTTCCAGTATAGGTTGCCTGAAAGAAATCGCTGTTAAGCGATAAGGCCGCCTATTGTGCAAAGGTTTTTATGTTTATAAGTTTCTCTTCATTTATCTCTGTTGTGTGTTGTACAATAAAGTGTTTTTATCTTATCTTTATCTCATATAATGTCGTGGCCATATCGTAGAATTGATGATTTTATGATCCGGCAGACCATTTTATCATATCATTTAAGCGTCAACGTTAAATCATATGTCAATCCACGTTTGGTCATATCATTAATGTAGAGTGACTAAAAAAGATATCGAATCTGAAAAACGACCTCGAAATTTAATACGATCGTAACGCTACGCTTCATCATTGTCTTAAATTTCTAACCTATCACGTGGCCTAAGTAATTAAACTTAAGTTCAGTTCATATCTCAAAAACTTTTCTATCCATCCTATAATATATTATCATTCTCTGGAGTTAGATCACAATCCTGTATTTATCGTAACCTGCGACATATCCATAAAACTATAGAAATAGCCTTTGCTGCTGCACCTTCGCACTGGACTCCTACATTTATCTCACTAAACTTAAAATAATAAGCCAAAAATTAAAATAAATAATGTATCACAAAAACAATGCCACATCAGCGCCTCTTACTGAGACTTACGTAACTATTTCACGATATGATACTTACGATGGCCACTTACTCTTGGCCAGATTATGAAGAAGTCATACTATCAGTCGCCCATATCGTTAAACGCAAATCAATCATTCATTGATCTGGCCAGGCCACATCATGATGTGGGGTGCAAGATTTTTCCATTTCATGAAATACAAACATTTCATGAAATGGTCAATTCTACGATCTGGCCACGACATATATACTTGAAAACCTATACTAAGGTGCTCACATAATATGAATGAACAAATGTAATAAAATAGGATTTGTGAAAATTATCAACATGAAAATCTTAGGTTAAAACCTAGCAATACTTATACTCAATAACTAATTACTGACGAAACAAAAAACACAAATAATTGGAATTTCTTTAATTTAAACTTGGAGCAACATTTTAATATTTTTCATTTAAAGCCTGCGCAAAGTTCTTTGATCAATATAATAGCTCGATTTAGAATATACTCGCCATCAGCTGGCTGAAAAGTTATTCTAGGTAAATTTTCTAGTAAAAAAAAATCTGCGATTTAGAATTCATTTAACGCCATCTAGTGTAATTCCTATAAATATGATATAAAAATAATTTTTATTCCGTAAACAAAATTACTTGAATTTGAACATTTTTATCCATTAAGTTTCAAAATGTAACATTTTAATTCCCTATAAAATCTTTCACTCCCATTTTTATCGCTTTAAGTGCTAGTTTTCGGCATAAAATATAACCTACTACCTTCCTAGGATCATAAACTACCCAAATACCAATTTTCATCGACATCGCTCAATAAACAAAGAAGTTTCATACAAACTGTTTCACCCTTTTTGACCCCCTTCGTGGTAGAATTTCCAAAAATCCGTTCTTAGTACATCTCTACGTATTAAGGGGAATGTTCCTCCCAAATTTCAAGTTTCTACGACCAGCGGTTTAGGCTGTACGTTGTCTGTCAGTCAGTCAGGACATCTCCTTTTATATATGTATAGATAAGATCGTGAATATTGTGTTGAGTGATGAATAAAGTACAACAACACATAGGTTATTGAAATATACATTTATTAATATAATGTGTATAATTGATATATATAGTTTGCCAACTTGAGATATTCTTAATATAATGCTACACATCGACTTGATAACGTATTTCAGGATGTCATCCAATCGGAGTCTGGGCGTTAATGAGGCACGGAACACGAAACCCGACTGACTCTAACATGGAAAAAATACAGCATGCTGTCAAGTTTAAAGATGCTATAGTGATGAGAAATCTAACAGGTGACCGTGGGAAGTTGTGTGCACAGGTACTACAATTATAAAATAATTTCGATTATTTTTTTAGAGATTGAGTTTGAGCCAGATTCGCAGACTGTTTACCTACTTCTATTTCCGTTCATCATCAATGCTCATCTATTAATTAAGTCTGAACGACCAGTATCGTACAGTATGTTTAGCAAGGATTTTCAGTGTAAGTAAATTATCTAGGTCAATAAATTATTTTATTAATTATTATGATCACGTGTATGTTAGTATTATTTTGGTATCTGTTAGATAATTATTATAAAACTTGCTGTATATGTTAGATGTGCATACATATATGTCGCATCATCTTTACGAAGATCGTTTGATTTAGTTTCTTTTATTTTAATTGCTAGTTACTCGATTACTTAATTACTCGATTGTAGAGAGAACGTGATCATCGATACTTTTAATTTTATTAGAATGGTGACATGACTTTGACAGTTCTTTAACAAAAAGCAAATTGCCGCCATTTTTCGCACACATTCTGTTTCCGATCGCCGAGGAGTAAAGACAGTCCATATCAGAGGATATGGACGATCTATTTGGGCTTCGTAATAGGCCCTTCTGACTACACGCCGTTATATACAGCAAATTTTATAATAAATATTCAAGTTTCTCAAGCATTTTTCCTGTCCTTAATATCAAAAAATCAACAAAATGGACTGAGCTAACTAGGGCTCGTATACTGCCAATCCAATGAAAAGAAATTGCTTTTTAACGATAAGGCCGTCGTTAATAATTGTAGTGTAAATCGATGCTTGTATTCATATTTTTCTTTGTGGTGTACAATAAAGTGTTCATTCATTCCACTAGAATTTGTTTTCCAACTCTCACACACTGGCATCTAATTCTGGAACGCGAGGATATACTTTAAACGTAGCATTCTTTACGAATAGGTTAGGGAACGCTCCAGGTATGAACCTATTCTATATTTGCATTTACTAGTATTTTTTATGTTGTACTTGCTTGCGGATTATGGATGTTAAAACTGGGATCCATAGGAACTACTCAACATCCAGCTCCCGCACTTGAACTAGTCTGACATACAGAATAGAATAGGCTTTTACTTACAAATGGTTTATGCATACCTGATGTGAAGACTACATCCCACGTTTACTTGTAAAATTGTTGGTTACTAGGACGCCATCAGCCTTCTAAAGTTCATAACTATGTTTATTTGTTCTTGCCGTCTTTGTAACTTAGACCATCAATATTACAGGATGTGAGCAACCTTCAGATGTGGTCTTGGGATGACAGCATCAGCTCAACACCTGGGTACCTGACAACGAATGGCTACAAAGAAATGTATGACCTTGGCTCTAGATTTCATCAGAGGTTCTCGACTCTCCTGCCTAACATCAACTGGTATGAGTTCAGGCCAACTTTGGAACAGCGGACTATCAAAAGCGCAGAGGCCTTCATTGAAGGGCTGAATCAGGGACAATGGTTGTTCACCGACTCGAATGCGACGGACCGAGATGATGTTTTGAGAGTAAGTTTATTGAATGCAAGAAAAACCCAAAACGTCAGATGTTTTTCAACATGTACGGGCTATGAATAGTTGAATGTCGAAATTAAATTAAATGTCAACTTAAAATCACTGAGGGATCTTTCTGTCAATGTCTAGTGATCGATTGATCCATTAAGACACATGGCACATCGCTATTATTTCCGAGAATACGAATAATAAATTTATTCCATAAAATTTATTTCAAATACATGTACAAGCTTTTCTGGTCCCCACACTAGGCCAAGCCTGACTGGTAGCGAGCTTAATACCAGTTACAATCTTCTTATTACATTTCATAGGGCACAACAACAACAACATTATATTACAATGCAACGTATGTACTTAATCGTTACCAAACAACATTTTTATATTATTCTAACATTAGACTTCTGTGTGTGACGAGTGGAGTCAAAATAATATTTATTCAAATAGACTGCTTAAAAGTACTTTTGAATCGTCCAAAATTTTTTTTCCTACGAGTGCGTTCAAGACGTCCTTTGGCTGATAAGAAGAACGAGCAAGAAACTCACCAGCTCTAATGGGAGTAACAACATTACCAGATCAATACATATTATAAAAAGAGAATAAACAACTATGATCTTATAATAATAAAATAATAATTCAATAATGACAACAAGATAATTTTGAGATGATAATGAGTTTAGAAGAAATCACCTACACAGTTAACTGGATCATATTAAATCGAAACATTCTAATCTGTTATATAATCAGATACCTTATAATAAGCTTTTTTAATAGTAGATATATATTGTTGTATTTTGCTTGGGACCTTATTGTAGAGACGCACGCAAAGATCCCTGAATGAATTATTAACTTTTTGCAGTCTAGTGACAGGCAGGAGTGTGATTGATATGCCACTTTTAGATCCTCAACAGATTTTCAGTATCTTCATAGTCAAATTCCAGAAGCTTCTTAGATAGCATTACTTTTATTTACTTAACCGGCTCTTTTTTTAATTTAAAATGCATTAACAAGCTTAATGTAAAGTGGCGAAATATAAGGTCTGAAACGACGTACGAAGGTGAAAAGGCTTAAATGGAAAAAAAGTGTCTTATTTAAGAAGTTCTTTCTGAATTGACGTTTAATCTACCACTCATAAACAACATAGAAACTATAAATAGGCGTATATGCATCTTGTTAATACCGCTTTCTCCACTTGGAATGAAAAACGGAAAAATTAATGTTCTTAAAAATGTCCGTGACGGTTCGAATGATTGTAAATATATAACAAATGTCCGGTCTGAACGATATACGGAACTGGGCGATGATGCAACACCACGCAGTATCATAATATTTTCAAAAATGTATTTTCTTTATGTTTTTAATCATTATATATTTTCAGCCGTATTACTATTGTGCGAGACATAACATCGAAGTATACAACGGGCAACGTTCTACTGACGAAATGAATAAATACATGGACACGTTAGAGTTTCGAGAGGTACTTGTTTTTTTAACAGAATACCACGACAGACTATTGTTGTATATTATGCTTTACGCAACTGTCATATAAGAAGGGGTATTAAAACACGAGAGTCTGTTTATCTCACGAGGCGAAGCTGAATGCGATAATAGGTTGACTCGAGTGTTTTAATACCTAAGTTATATGCATTTTTATACACTACTTTATCTTCACTCAAAGGAAAAATTTAAATATTAACAAAGTAGGTAGGTTACAAGGAAGTAATTTATGCGTGCGCCTTTTTTTTCACAGTTTAAACTGCGCATGCGTGCGCCTTTTTTCATATTCAGCCTAAAACCATGGGCAAGTTTAATTAATAAAAAAAGATAGCGGTACTATAATGAGTTTTTATGTATATGCGTTTATAAAGTGTGCGTTTGTATAGAATCGTCTTTGAATTCGTAATTCGAATTTTTCGATTTGAGTGTAGATAAATTTACTGTTTCCATCGAATTATTCTCTGACGATATAAAAAAATATTATTAACAAATCTAATAATATCTTCTGGACTTATTTCTAGATGTTGCATCGCCTACAAAACAGATCTGGCTTAGATGAACGCCTGACGTCGTCAGAAGCAGTAGCACTTTACGATCTGTGCCGCTTCGACAGAGCCTTCTCCTCGACCAGGAGCTCGCCCTGGTGTGCCCTCTTCACTGATCGAGACCTCATAATCTTAGAGTACTTGAATGATATCCGACATTATTACAGGTATATTAGAATTCACTAGACAAACCAAATTAAAATTTTGTAAACATACAGAAAAAAAATATCAGTCCACATGTTTTAGAGAGTTTTCAGTTCTGTATTGGGTCCTATTCTGTTTGCAATATATACCGCGAGCATAGATAGTAGCGCCCATTCCAGACTCCATCTACACGCAGATGACAGCCAATTATATATATACACGTTATCTTCAGATTGTGATGCCTGTCTTGCTGTGTCTTGGTTTATCGCAGACATTAGAGCGATTACCAATTGTTAAGAGCATGGCGTAATGCTTAATTCAGCTAAAAGTGTTTCATTTACGCCGGGAACTATCAAAACATATAAACGTTCAAGTGAAAATTATCAAAACATATAAACCTCCAATTCAGGTTTTCGACACGCCAGTTTCCCTTGAAAAATATGTAAACAACCTGGGTGTTAACGCATTAGCGTAGTTATTGAAGTAAATTAGTTTTATATATACATGATTATCAGTAAACTGTAGGTGTGGTTTATTCATACTTAAAACTAGATGTCGCCATTTGTTTAACATAATATTGTTTGGTCTGTTCTGAATCGCGGTATTAAGATTTCTGCTAGTATGTATAAGTCATAGATCATAAGGTTTCTTTTTGAACATAAAATTGAGTCTATTCACTTGAACGGTGGTTTCATTGATATTATCTTGCCCCATTCAAGGAAAGTTTTTGGGATTGAACACTGGGGCTGATGATGGATGAATGTTTGAGATTCCACAAGCATGTTCTTTGTAGAGATGAGACGTACTAGGTTAAACGCGTACTAAGTCTTGCAAGTACGAGTACGCTGAAATACTTATTCCGTAAACCTATTCCACGAGTATTTAGAAGTATGCGTTTTTAAGACTATTGACACAAATTTTGTCCCAAGACATTGCGACTGCTTGATGTATGATCCGAAGTCATTGTAGATTGGGAATTGCACATGAATGAATACTTTGACGGGAAAAAAATAAACCTGACGATTGCACAAGCCAAAAAATTATTAACACTAAAAATTGAAGCACTAAAAAGTGTCACATCTTTGTGGAATTTGAAAACACATAAATTGGCTCGGTACAATAATTATCCATTGGTTGTTATTATTTGTATCAAGCTTAGTTAACAAAAAACAAAGTAGAGAATTTTATTAAAATTATCAAAGTAAAAAATAAAAACAAAAACATCTAAAGCAGTTAAAGTGGAAAGACAATTTATTTTCATTCGTTTTTAAAAAATGGTGTTATAATGAGTTTTGCTTGTTGATATAAGTTAATTTCATCTATATATATAAAAATGAATCGCAAAATGTGTTGGTAAGCGCATAACTCAACAACGCCTCGACCAATTTGGCCAAATCTTTTTTTAAAATGTTCGTTGAAGTTCAAGGATGGTTTTTACGGCGAGAAAAATTAGAATTATTGCTGGAAAAACCCTAAAAATAGCCCTTTTCTTTTTCCCATACAAATGATTTGTAACTAAAACGTAGTCAATTTGAGCTTTATTGCTATGGTATAAAGTTCATATTAAATTACAAGCACTCACTGTTGTCTAAGCAATGTAGGTGTGTTCCTAACGTCAAAGATCATATCTATCAAAACAATGTGCGTGTGTGCGTTGGAGCACAGAATACATAGTTGGAGGAGTTTAATGTCGCGTTCCGAAACTCGCGTTTCTTTTGTATTAGTTTCGGCACGCGAGATAAAATGCATCAGTTTCCACGTCATTACATCAGTCAAACAAAAATCGCGTTACCAACAGTGTTTTATTATTTTTAATATCCAAATTTTAAATCAATAAAACAATTCGTACGGCTTAAAAGGATTTGACTTCAAGTCATATCAAATTAAAAAAAAAAAAAGTTGTCTGTGACCTAATCTACTGAGTTTGCTTTTGTCAACTGATACACGAAACAAATTCGTATATCGTGTTTTGTGCAGAGTGTTTACTTAGTTAGTGTTTGTTTAGTTCGTGATTAGTGAAAAAATAATTTATATTTGATATGCCTCCTATAAGACGAAGCAATTTAGGTAGAAGAACCAGAAATGCTACAAACCAAGCTAATTACCGATCTAATCGTACTGCACAAGAACGTGACGCCGGAAATGAACGTGAAAGAATTCGGATATCACAAACGCGTGAGGCGCGAGCGCGACATTCAACTAATAATCGCGCAAGTTTGAATCGAGCTGCTTTCAGTTACGATGTGTCAATTGACTACAGTATTAATCTAGAAAACCCATGTTTCTCACATGGTCAATTGTATGTTGCCTGTTCCCGTGTTGGAAAACCATCAGATTTGTTTATCTATGCGCCAGGTAATCAAACAAAAAACATCGTATACCACAAAGCACTACAATGATAATAATAATAATTATGATTCACATGATTAACAATAAAGCGATTACTTACTTTTAAATCCTTATATATGTTTTATTTAATTATTTTTTATTCACAACGCCCTATCACCAGGGTGACGGTTCTGTTCAGGAGAATTTTTTTAAATACGTAGGCAAAAAAACTGCCACATTACAAATCTTTTTGACAGGACGAAGTCTGTCGGGTCAGCTAGTTTAGATATAAAACGTTTTTTTTACTACAAGTTATTAAATATTAGTACTGTTGTAGTTTTGGACTGACCCAAACAGAATTCATGCTCAAAATAAATAAAATATATGATAAATAAATAGATATATTGCATAATGATATATAATAAATATAAGATAATTAGTACATTGTATAATTAAATAAATTGGTTCCAATTTGAGATAACAGATGGTGCTACGCCAGTATGAATCGCGGTATGATCTCATTTCTATACGATTTATATAAATTTTTGTGATTCATGTAATAAAATTGCTCCGATGAAAGTTCGTTGCCCCGTCAGGGCCCGCAACCAATAGTCCAAGGCGGTGTTTAGTCAGTAGGAGTCTGACATAACCCTCACAGCCGGCTGTGTTGGTAGGGATGTGAGATTAATAGAAAATAATCGATTTAATAAAAATCGATTTTCTTTTATAAATTATAAATCGATTTGTCAAAAATCGATTTTAATGAAAATAAATAATCGATTTTTGCGAAAAAATCGATTTTTTTTTCTATTATTTAAAATCCTACATGCTTTGCATATTCCAATAATAAACCTCAAAGATTCATATTAACAATTAATCAGATAAAAAAAATAAATAATATGAATAAAAAAATTGACAATTCAAAACTAAAAATTAAAGCAAATGTTCTTTTAAACTTTCAAGGTAAGGAATAATAAAACCAAATATCATTATTGATAGAAATTCTCAGTATCTTTAAACGTTATATAATAATTAAAATTAAATGAGCACCCCAACAAAATGACAACCTTATTGTCGCAAAAAATTAAATATAATAATAAAAAAAAAATGTCATGAATGTAAATGTTTAGTTTTCGATAAATATCAAACATCGATGTTGGACTTACGATGATGATATCGATGTCAACATCGATGTTATTCTAATGTCGATCATATATACCTACATACCTACAGATGGCGCCGTTTTTATATAATCAACTTTTAAGTAATAATGCTTCGAGTTTTTTCATTTGGCGCATAGATGATGCTATTTATGAAAATCGATTTAACCGCGCAATTTGTTTAATCGATTTGTTAAAAATCGATTAATATGACATGGAAAATCGATTATAAAAAATCGATTATATTAAAATAAAAATCGATTATTTTTTAACATCCCTATGTGTTGGTATCCAATGAAGGATTCACCGCCTTCTTCCTCCGTTGATGGGAAGGTGGTTCCGAACCCGTAAGGTTGAGAACACAAAAAAAAAAAAAAATTGTAATAAAAGTTTTGACTGTTTCATTTACTTTGACGGCAAAGGAAACTGATGATTACACAAGCATTTAGTAAGAAAAATTTAATGTGATTCTTTGTGGTTTGCGCTATCTATACCTATCCTACTATCTTTTCGATTACATTTGTAACCACATATATTGCTGGGCAAATAATTATTATACATTGGTTGTTATTGTTAATGTCAACCTTAGTAAGCAAAAAATAAAGTAGCGAATTAAATTAATCAAAGTAAAAAAACAAAACATCTTAAACAGCAGTTAAAGTGGAAAGACACATTTCTCAAATGTTAACATACATTTTGTTCACATTAGTTTCTAATAAATGGCGTTATAATTTTGTGTGAATAGCTGTGTTAAGAGTTTTGCTTGTTGATATAAGTTAATTTCATTTACATATAAAAAGTTATTTTAACAATTCATTGAGTTATTCAATATTAGTACGGTAATAGTTAATTTTTTTGGACTGACCCATAGAGTATTTATGCTCAACATATATAAAATAGGTATACGATAAATAAATATAATGCATAATAATAAACAATAAATACAACATAACAATATAAGTTAATTAGTACATTGTATAATTAGATAAATTGATTCCAATTTGAGACAACAGATGGTGCTATACGAGTATGAATCGCGGTATTACCTCATTTCTATACGATTTATATAAACTTTTGTGATTTATTTACTAGAGTTTTGAATGTTATCATAAATAAACTGTATGGCTAAAGTTCCGTTTTTTGATAATTCACTCAATAAGTTAAATAAATATATTAGTCCAAACACCCCAACACCATAAAAATTATTATTTTTATTATTACGTGTAAGCATCTATTAAGTACTACTTTTTACAATGGTAAACAATACGAAATGCCGAAACGACTGATGTAGTTAATCAAATACACGACAAAGATCCAAGCTAGAAGCAAGATTATAGACTTTATTTACATTTAACACGTGACGGCGCACAGTGGAAAATGGTAGAACAAGAGCATATCAAAAATACTTTTACGAATGTCATAATTTGTTTGATTTGGTGATTTTATTAGGATCTCGAATAATCGAATTATAATATTCATTAAGTTTTTTTATCGAAAATGCACGAAGTTACATTTTTTTCATAGGTAGAAGTACATAGAAGACGGGAGTGCCGAACTCGAGTCTACGCATATACATGTTTCAAAACCATATTGTGCAATATATATTGGGTACATATATGCAGTATTATACATTTTTGGAAAGGTTATTTCATGCTTATTACGTTACAGCTTTTTAATTTCTAAAGCAGCGACAATTATGTCAGTAAGTAATTAAAAAGTGGCATACCTTATTTTTTACTTTTCTTTTTTTTCATCTAAGGTTTTCAATATTACCCACGGCTCCCCACGCGCAACTTTTTATGTTGATTGATAGTCTAACTATTCAGTAACAGAATACAAAAAAAAACAGCTGCGGAAGTTTGCGGTTTTAGAAAATATAAGAAATAATGTGTGAAAAGTCGGAAAATAAAAATCAGTATCTTTGACGGTTTACCACAGACACCGTTCACAAGGACAATAATTATATTACTTTTGGAATATTTTATTTATTTAGCGATAACAAAGGAATCTTATCAAATTTGCACTCGTTATGCGTGAGAAATTACTAGATAATAATTATGTGGGTAGCAATTTGATATTGGAAACAATTTGATATGGCAATACAGCACGAAGTTTTTTTTTTTAAATTACACTTGCTCAGCGGAAATTACGGGTGTAGACGAAACATTCGATCAACATCGAAAATGCACAAAGTTACATTTTTTTCATAGGTAGAAGTACATAGAAGACGGTAGTGCCGAACTCGAGTCTATGCATATACATGTTTCAAAACCATATTGTGCAATATATATTGGGTACATATATGCAGTATTATACATTTTTGGAAAGGTTATTTCATGCTTATTACGTTACAGCTTTTTAATTTCTAAAGCAGCGACAATTATGTCAGTAAGTAATTAAAAAGTGGCATACCTAATTTTTTACTTTTCTTTTTTTTCGTCTAAGGTTTTCAATATTACCCACGGCTCCCCACGCGCAACTTGTTATGTTAATTGATAGTCTAACTATTCAGTAACAGAATACAAAAAAAAACAGCTGCGGAAGTTTGCGGTTTTAGAAAATATAAGAAATAATGTGTGAAAAGTCGGAAAATAAAAATCAGTATCTTTGGCGGTTTACCACAGACACCGTTCACAAGGACAATAATTATATTACTTTTGGAATATTTTATTTATTTAGCGATAACAAAGGAATCTTATCAAATTTGCACTCGTTATGCGTGAGAAATTACTAGATAATAAGATAATCCTATTGGACAGCTGTCGGAAGACGCACAAGAGTCTCGCAACAAAGACTACAGAAACATGCGACTTCATCATGCCAAAAAATGTTCCCGGTCTGCAACAAATGAAGATGTCTTTAAAATGCTTTTGTGAACGTCAGATCCATATATAACAAGTTTAAGAAAACCATACTTAAGAAATGTAAAAAATCTTGAAGTGGAGGCAATAAAGTCTTTTAAAAGTGGTACCTGAAAGTGAACGCACGTTTACTGACCCTGATCCTGAAGCAATATTGGTACCTACCAAAATAAAAATAATATTGATATTTAGTTATTAGTAATGTTTGTAACGAGTTATATCAATCTCTGAAGCTACAGGCCTAATATAGTTTGTTTGTTCAGCAAAAAAATTTTTTTTGTATTTTTTATTAATTGGGTAATTTTGTATTTAACCGTAGTTTTAGCCTTTTTAGTCATTAAAACTTGTCTTTCTTTTGGAATTATTTTTTTTACCATTTTATTTTTGTGTTTTCCCATTTTTTTTACTTCTATGACATATAACATATATATGTATATAGAAAAACACTACAAATTATACATCATTTGAATTTCCAAACCTCACTGAATATTTGTAGCAAATTTCATTGCGGTACTACAAAAAATCATGAAGTTATACATTTTTGATCCGATAACGACCGATTCTGCCCACCGTGCGGCGTCGGACGTTTACCTACTTACTGTGTAAACAAAAAGCAATTTTATCACATAACGTTAAGATTGAACCTAGGAATAGCAATTAATTAACTCACACTAAGATCGAACGCGTCCGCGTCTTCGCGTCTCGGAGAGCCGAGTTTGTAATTACTGTGTAAACAAAAAGCAATTTTATCACATAACGTTAAGGTTGATTCTAGGAATAGGAATTCATTCACTCACACTAAGATCGAACGCGTCCGCGTCTTCGCGTCTCGGAGAGTCCGAGTTTGTATGAGTACAAGACTTCTAAATACTCGAAACGTGTTGGACGTCTTGAGTCTGCGTCCGCGTCTTCGCGTCTCGGGATTTGTGTGAGTAAATACTTCTAAATACTCGATACGCGTTGATTGCTTATTCGATACTTAGTATTTAGACGTCCAAGCAAAAACTTATTCCAAAGACTTATTCCAGTAAATACGTCTCACTCCTAGTTCTTTGTATCAAATCGACGAAATGTTTTTGCATTCTTAAGGAATCTCTGTAATATAAAATATTTTCTTAGACAAACACGCTAGACTCTTCGTAATGCTCTGGTATTGTCCCATTTAAATTATGCGGACGTTGTTTATATAATTTAAAAAAAAACATTGAAACTTGTACAATGAATTCAAAACGTCCGTATGAGATTCTTTTTTCTTCGAAGAAGCAGAAGTACACAGCATTTTGTGCAAAGGCAATAATTTTAACGCTTTTATTCTCAAATATTCATGTTTTCTGTGTAGACTGTTTCACACTCAATGCCCACTTTATTTATGTGCACAATTATCAATAAAAAAGCAATCCTTCATTAAGAGGGGTCCATGTTACATTTATGATTATGTACATTAGTCGGGGCAAGAGGTTGCTTCAAGTTTCATCATCATCATCATCATCATCAGTCCTTTATTTCATCCCCACTGCAGGGGCTCAGGCCTTCCTTATGGATGGTTAAGGAGGACTGGCCAATGCGGATTGGACAGTATTAACGACTGCAAATGCAGCCGAGACCAACGGCTTAACGTGCCTTCCGAAGCACGGAGTAGCTTGAGATAATAATTTTTTGGTCGCCCGTCCCTTGCGAAAGTTTCTTAACGACAATGATCACAAGCCGCGGCGTTTATCCACTACGCCACTGAGCTACTCATTCGTTATCAATTAACAAAACTTAACATACTAAGTTTGCCTCTGCTTAAACATGAAATTATGTACCACCTTCGTAAAAAATAATATAGTCGCAATCTTATAACATTTTGTATATATTTTATAGAATGGGTAAGACAGTAGTCTTTGATTCTCTCGAGTTCCTTTATTGGTGCTTGTCCTCCACGTTTGTGTACAAACATTTAGCTTTCTTAGATTACTACTAAAATGGTGGAAGTCACTGTATAAAACTATTGTTGTGTAGTGGCATAACTTATCAGTAATCTGTGGAAATGATTATGACAGAATAACAGAGGCTGTGGGTCACTCACCGTTACTCTGTCAAAAACCGTTTTGTCTGCTATTACTTTGGATTTGAAATTTTATTTGTAATCATATAGAGAGAGGTACCTAAAACGAAAAAATAATATTTTTATCATATAAATATGTGTAATCATAATAATCTAAAATCTATTGTTGTATAATTTAAAACAAACAAGTATAATATCGTTTGTTAATTATCTTTCAGAAACGGTTACGGCTCGGAGATTAACGGAAAACTGGGTGCTCCAGCACTCAAGAATCTGTACGAGAACTTTCTCTCCGTCGTCTCCAATGATTCCACCAGCATCACGGGTTATTTCACCCATGATAGTTTGATGCAGATGGTGTATACAGCACTACAGCTATTCCGTGACTATCCAGAGGTATCTGGGTTTGAGAGGAACGAAGACAGAAAATGGCGGACGAGTTTCATGACTCCATTTGCTGCTAACTTCGTAGCTGTTTTGCACAAGTAAGTTTCTTCTAGACTTCACTACCGAAGAATAGGGACGATGAATGGTTAAAAAAGAAAAAAATCTATTAAGTCCGTCGGTCAAATGATAGAAAAATATCAGATACGTATTTATTTCATTTCAAATTAACAATAAATTACATAGACTACAAGCATTAAAATTGACATCACAACTACGTAAAAAAATTAAAAAGTTGTGACGTCATATTTAATCATTGGGGCTATTACGAAGCCCAAATAGATCGTCCATATCAGAGGAATATCTTTGAAATAACACTGCAGGCGTCTATACCAACGTGGATTTGTTCCATTTTATCACTTTTCACGCGAAAATGTCACGAGATGAGCGTGATGTCGTCAGATGTCTTTACACCTCGGCGATCGGAAACAGAATGTATGCCAAAATGGCGGCAACTTGTTTTTGTTAACGAACTGTCAAAGTCAGTGTCACCATTCTAATAAAATTAAAAGTATCGATGATCACGTAACTGCGACATATTGCTGAGTGGACACGTCTTTAGTATCTAATTTTTAAATAACTTGTAATTTGGTGCTACATTTTTGTTCTATTCTATTCTTACTTACATGTCTATGTAAACTTTCAAGTCTATCGATCATTGGGAAATGGGACAAATTTGTGTTCTAAGATTTGCGCACTAACAACCATACTAACATACAAATAAGGCAGGTTAAATAAAAGCTTGTAATGAATGTAGAAGTAAGCGTTTTTGTACTTTAATATTTATAATTTAGAAAATATCGTTATTTTTGTGTTTTAAATGCTAATATATGAATAGATTATGCTATTATTAAAGGTAGTCACTAGTAACTACATCCTGTTATGTCTGATTTTCAAAAGGCTATATAATGAACAATAAATAATATTGTTTATAGGTGCCCTACAAGAAAACAGTCAGAACTGTATCAAGTGCAATTCTTCATCAATGAAAAAGAATACCACCTCTGCAACGCCAGGAGTTGTAACTGGAAACAATTTCACGAGAAATTCTCTAGATTCCTTGACATCAACTTAGACGAGTGTAATATTGATAAGGAAATTTCACCACTACAGAAACTTACATTTAGAAACGTTACTTTGTAATATATTGTTTCAAGCGTCGTAATTATTCACCGATTTACCTTATTTTAATGAATACTCGTTATTTTGGCGATATTAAAGCGTTATGAACGTTTTGAAACTGAGTGGTACAGCAGGCCAATTCTGCTAATGTTAACATAATAATCTCATAGCAATAGAAACTCAAGTACTTGCATTTTGTCATTGTTCTATATCTACCTGTTAATTGTTATATATTGTTATATATCTGCCACCATTTATGTGCAATCGGAATAGACTAACCATAGCAACCTCCCGCTTAAAATTACACTCTACTGGCCCACTGGCAATGTCAATAAAAATATACAATAATCTACCAATCTCAATAAAAAATTTAAATAAAGAAAAATATTACATAAAAAATTTAAAGAATTTATTAACTAAAAAGAATCATTATACCATACAAGAATACCTAAGTGAAAAACTTTAAATATAACCTAATTAAAAAAGAATATTCTACCTCTATTTTTTAATTTTAATATCTACTTAATTTAAATATCTGCTAAATGGGTAAGTTTTCAAAACATACATTATTTAGTTTGTAAAAGAAAGGAACTACTTATTACCAATATTTTAAAGCAGTGTCCTCCCCTCTCTCCAAATTGCTGTGCCCGACGGGATCCATAATGATACTTTTGTTTTTTTTTATAAACATCCTAATACAACATAGTAAAGTGTGGGCCGACGGAAGGCTTCATAAAAAAAAGGAATTTATTTTATAATAAATATTATATTACTTTATACACTAGTGCTCATGATCGAGCCTTACTTAATACTAACGTCGGGCGATCCGACATAACCTAACTTAACTTCTAGAGTTACTAAAATATAATAATAATTGTCTCTCGATCTGTTAGTGTCAGCTCTTTTATATCTGTATGCAACAGAGACGTCGTTATTTTAATATTCATTGTAATTGTGCCGGATGCTATTTTACCGTTTATTGTATTGGGTCACCAATTTACCGAAATGTTTGGTGTTTCATTGTAATTGTGCCGGATGCCGTTTATTGTATGGGGTCACCACTTTACCGAAATGTTTTGTGTTTTATTTATTAGTATACAGGTTGATATTTAACTTATTGGTAAGTTTAATATCTGACTCTATTTATATGAAGGGTCGGTAAAAATAAATAAACGTGTTCACAGTTATGAGCTTACTTTCAGACTATCTGATGTTGAAGTGCCACTTACAAAATACAAAATATCATAGATTACGTTGCCACAGAGTGGTCGACAAAGATTATAAAACACATGTGCCACGCTATTAATGATTTTGTTTAAGCTAAATGGTTGCAATAAAGTATTTAATCGAGTCCCAAAATTTAATACAAAAGACACTTATGCTGCATACATATATGCTTTATTATGTACTAACGTCTACAACACGTGACAAGACATAAGTCATCATAACTTCATTGTGGAATGCGATAAATAAATAACAATATTAGATTACGTAAACATTAGCAGAATTGACCTACAGGTATCATAGTAACAAGTATTGAACGTAAGAGGATTCGAAAGAGGGTAGATCGATATATCTGTTAATAACATCTACCCGCAACTGCTCAGTTACTTTGTGCTCACGGCGCGTTCAAAATATCGAAAATATAAGAACATCAGTGAGTATAATGTCACCTCACACATCTACTTATGATTTAGATTTACAACAAGGTACACCCAGCAGTATGTTAGATTACCAGGTTACAGTAAATAAAAAAAACATCACATTTCCACCGCTGATTTTTAACTCTATTTTAATCGAGAGGAAAAATCTAAAAGTTTTATATCACCTCATGTACCGTTGACACAGACATCAGATTACCACCGTATGTCAACTTTTGTTGTTAGTTTTAAATTCTACCTTTACTTTAATGGAGAAATTTATCATTTTATTTTAGCCGTTTTGCTGTTGACTGTACGTGGTAACAATCCCGTGAATAATTTTAATTACTCAAACCGATTCTGTAGCAAATGGTCCATACAAATAATTAAGTTGCTTTTTTAAATTATAATTGACTATACCATGTAATTTTGTTTAACAATAATATTTATTCAAGTGGAGAAGAAAGAAGGGATTTCATTTTCTATAAATGAATGACTGATTCTTTTGACTGATACTTTAATTCAATCAAATAAAACATCATATGTTTAGAAAATAAAATAAATCATAAATATACACTTATAAAGAGATTCATTTCCATTAATTAATTAGAACCGGTCACAAGATCGGTTCTAATTAATTAAAACTGATATAATAATTACAATAAATGTATTATTTCTGTAAATATATAATAAGATAATTTCAAAGATGCTGTATATTTTATTTGAATTCATATTGAACACAGAATTACCTTTAACCATCAACTTCCAACTGCTGTAATAGTGTGAACATAGAATAAGACATCTTGATGATCTGAGATAAAGGAAATTAATATAATTAGATATTAGAAAAAATTAAAATCTGTCAATATATTATAAAGTATTATATATATTGACAGTTTTTGCTGGGTAGAAAATGTGAATCCACCACTCTGGGCTTCGACTTTGCTAATGTTAACGTGATATTGGTAACGTCAATGGTTTAGCAATTTATTACAATTTCCTATTGTATTATTTGCTTAACGCAATATTGCTGTCTTGATGATATATCTTTATGGGGCATAGTGACAATAACTGTACCAAAAAAAGCTGCTACCAAAACGATATCATTAGAAGAATTGAGTCCCAAGTCTTTATGGCTTCAAAGTGATTCTCCACATAGTATTTTTGTAAATATTGCTCTTTTATTAGAGCTAGTGGATTCCCTACTCGTTCTTCTTAACGGTCAAAAGACGTCTTGAACGAGTAGTAGGAAATAAAACTTTGGACAATTCAAAAGTACTTTCAATAAGTTTATTTGTTTGAAGATTATTTTCATTTTAACATAGAATTTCAAGATAATCATCTATACTATACTATCTAGATGATCACGTAACTTTTACTGTATCCAAAATGTATTATGTCAAGCAAAGCAAGTGCCTCTGTTGCATCTGCCGTCATTAATACCCAATCAACTCTGGGCTCAAGTAGTACGTCATGGTCTTCTATCACTATTTGATTCTGTCCATAGAGAAAACCGATGTCCCAGCAATGGACCGATAAAGATGATGAATGTTACTCACTCCAGTGAAAGAGGCGAGGGACAGTGTAGTAAATCCTGCAGCAGTTATCTTGGTGACGCGCCTCGACCTCGTCATAATTATGAGCAAGGAGCGTCGCAGTGGCGTGGACATCACGTACCAAGGGCATTCGTAAGCTGCACCAGCTATCTGTGTACTCTAAAACCAAATATCTTTATTCCTATCTCAAACTTTCACGATGAAACTTTTGCAGAATAGACAGAAAGAAATACATGGCACTGTCATTAACTCTTTCAATTGCTTGTTCTTTCAATAATTTTGTATGCCTTTTGATACCATTTTAATAATACATATCAATGCATAGTGTACAAGTTAAAAACATAACAATAACCTTGAGTGAAATTAGAAATAGTGTAGGCAAACTATAATATTTTTTGTAACCTCATTACAGATAAACTTAAAATGAACACCATTTGTTCTTTTCCATAAAGTGCCATATACCTTGTTATTTGCTTGGTTCTTGATATTGGTTCTACTTCTAGTCTTAGTGGCTGCATGGCACAATGAATTGAAGATAGAAATTTAATTTTGAGGAGGTATCCATTCCCAAATTTTGAAATGGCACATATCGTCTACGTCGACACTAGAAACCAACTGTTTATGGCAAGAAAAATTGTTAATCTTTCTTAAAATTAGTAGTATTTCTTACCTCTTCTGATAGTTGATTCCCTTGGTAACAGTATAAGAATACTTGGAACATCATATTTACCAAGTACGTACCCATGGCAATCAGACGAACCGGATTACCTGTCACCTGATGACAAAATGAAGAATTGGTTTATTTTTTTATTAAAAAAAGCCTTAAGACTGTTCTATTAATCTATCTTCGTTGAAAGCACTTCAACGATACATACAGCGGTGTTCCGCTAGAGAGTAGATGCAGCTACATAATAGCATTTGGAAAATTTTGACAGCACAAACTTAGACAAAAAAGCTTAACTTTCTGGAAACGATTCCAATACATACCGAAACGAGAGCTGGTTTGGATATTGGGTATGAGAGAGCATGCAACTAAGATTACATTACAGATGCTCAATTCAATTAATAGAAAGCTGACCTGAAAGATAGTGCCAGTGTAAATGTAAACAAAGAAATGTTCCGTTTGTTCGAACATGCAGAAAGAATGTTGAAAGAAAGAACAATGAAACTGGTGTTTTATGTGGAAGTGAAATGGATACTATGGGAGGGTGATATCAGAAACTATATTAACGATAAGCTGGCGTGTATCATGTCAAAAGAGTAATGGATGTTGAAGAAATTAAAGACGATTATAATGTGCCGATTGGCGCTTATATCTCAATGCTTACCTTGTAAGGGAGGATTACGTTAAAGTGGTTTTTTTTTAATTAATTTGACTAACCAACATTTGTTTACAATGATACATACTATTGATATCATTAATTCTTTTTTTCCGACTTTCTGCAACAGGCTCTTAAAGGTTAGCTCCGCATCCATAATGAGCTTACAATATCTATTTAATTATTAATTAATAACAGACTTATATGTTCAAAATATATTAACACATACGTAATAAGCCATATATATATATATATATATATATATATTATAGATATATATTTTTATTCTGTCTTTATATACAATACCCCTTACTTTGAATAAACTTTCAATTTATGTAGGTATTACTATATAATTTTTGTATCTTTGAATTAGCTGTTTAGCGCCTCACTTACCGATACCAGCTGGAAAGCAGTAACGCATATGATAAGTAGTGACACATTGAACTGCATGAACACCTGCTCGGAGAAGCAGTGCTGGAGCATGCGAGCTGCCTCCAGCGCGCTAT